AAATTTGAATATTGTCAATTTGGGAAAAAATGTTTGATACTGATTGAGACATTAACTTGTTTTCATTATTAGCTATCCTGCAAATTCGAGTGGAACTAGGTTAAAAAAAAATAGGTTAACCAGTTTGCGTCGGATAACGTGTATACAAACAAAGATTTTGCGGTATTCGTAGCGGATGACAGATGAACAAGCAATGATAGCTGAGTCCTATAAATACAGATGTCAAATTAGTTCCGAGAACTCTTGGAGTTTTTAAGAATAAATTATTGTTTCACTGAAGAAGTGTCTTTGCTCCCTTATTAGTCCCAGCCTTGTAGATAGGATAGGATGCCTTTGATACAAACGAATCCGGCAAATATAAATTTATTGTGACTTGGCATCATTACATCTTGCAAGATGACAGAAGAAAGTCCTGAATAGCGCTCTCTACCCCACCTCAACCGGCCGCAGCATTACATGACAAAAACAATGAAACAAGCTCATTGGTTTTACTTTAAACATGCCTTAGACTAAGGCTGAAACGATACACCTGTGTCACGATACGATACGTATCACGATACATATCAAACGATACGATATATATCGCGATATATCTTGGTATAAAAAAATAAATAAAATCAAAACAGATGAACTTAATCAGGGTCTAAGTCCTCTTTAATCTGTCTCTACTCGTTTCTGATAATACACAAATACAGTAAGGTACTACCGTAATTTTCGGAATATAAGCTGCGCGTCGTAGACAAAGCCGCAGCACGCAAAAATCTACAAATTAAGATCTGAAGTCAGCGTATAAGCCGCACCGCGCCGGCGTATAAAGCCGCACTGACCGCAGCGGTTCAATTTTGTAAGGCCTCTAAATTCTAGTCAAAATGCTCTGAACCAGTTCCATTTCCACTACAGAGCTATAAAAAGGGCCACAAAAGTTATATCAAATCATTTACAATCGATACTCTTACAAACAAATATGGACATTGATGATGAGAAATAAACTACCGGAATTGCTGCCGGCTGCCCCGTCCGGTCCCCGGCCTTAAAAGTTAATGCATGGCCTGGCAGCATGCGCCGGGGAATGACAACATTTTCCCGCTGCACGTGACGTGCATAGTGCTTTTGGCCGTGCACAGAAAGATAGCAAAATTAGAAAGTAACATGTGACTCGCTCTCGGCCAATCAAGACACAGAATCTGTGGGTGAGGTGTTATAATACGATATATCCACTCCACCTACAGCGAACTGCAGGGATACATTAAAACCCGCAACTGGAGTACCGACCAATTCCCCATCTGCAGAGGAATTTTTCAAGGCGACACGCTGTCACCACTGATCTTCACCCTAGCGTTTAACCCAATAATCAGCATGCTGAAACGCCATCAACATGAAGGAGTTTCCCTCACCTTGCCGATACCCAACTCCACCGCCCTACCACCTGAGGGTGCCTCCCTCTACGTCAAGTGGGATGATCAGCCTACAGACTCTGAGTGTGAGGATGCAGCGGGTTGGTACCACTGTCAGGTCAAAACACATGTGAACGACGGATCATCAATCATCCGCTATACCGACGGTTCAACTGAAACGGTGAATCTCCATGACGTGCCATGGCACCTCGCGTGGAAAAGAGACAAAATTTTGCGCGCCCCTTCTGAAACTCCACCGACAAGGAAACTCCCAGCGGTTCACAACCAAATGGGAAAAGTGAAATTCGCCAAGTCGGATCCAATCATCGCTCTCGCCTACGTGGACGATCTAACCTTGATCACCCGGCAACAGACTCCTCATCAGGATATATTGACTACTCTGAATGAGTCTTTCCAGTCCGTCGGTCTGGAAATCCGCCCGGATAAATGCACACACCTGCGCAAATCCGGTCCCAAACCTGTCAGATCTGCCTCAGTTACCATCAGTGGGCAGAAAATAACAAGTGTCTGTGACAACCCCACCAAATTCCTGGGTGCTGTAATAGGAGCAACTAACAGCGAGACGAAACGTTCATCAGCAGCCAACATTCGAGAAACAGTGCTGACAGCCATGGAAAACATCAACCAATGACCAGTGAAACCGGAGTATAAGACTTGGATTTACGCCAATTATCTCTGCCCTGCCATCCGATTCGCACTAGCCGTGGGATCCATGTCCACCAATCAGCTGAAAGTCCTCCAGCGCAAGGTCACACAAACACTCAAAAAATGGTTGAAATTGGTCAAGTGTACAACCCTGGCAGCGATGTTCCACACCAAAACTCTCAACCTTCCGTACCTTCCACAACTGGAACAAAAATGCAAAATCAACCTGAGTCTTTCCATTTTCAAGAATGGAGGAGATCCCATGATAACCCAAAACTTAACAGACTCGCTTTATAGCCGCACCACCTCAGATGAATGGGTAGGCGCTGTGCCCAAAATCTTTCGCTCTGCCGTCGACAAAGTCAGAGATTTGGTAAGCAGTGACCCGGCAACCAACCCTCATCCTCCCTCCCGGTGGATCAAACAACATGTCCGCACTGACCACGATGACCAGTGGGAGAGTCAACTCCAAGACCTTCAAGTGCAATCCAAACTGCTCGATATCATCGTCCTGGAGGATGAGTCGGAGGCATGGAAATGCGTCCGCTATTCCCTCCCTAGCGGCCAACTCGCATTCCTCATTAGAGCAGGCTGTGACACTCTTCCCTCACCAGTTAATCTTGCAAGATGGAAAGTTCAACACGACACTAGGTGTGGGCTATGTCATCAGCCAAGATGTACCCTAGCTCACATCCTCAGCGCATGCCAAAAAGCCCTCACCCTAGGTCATTACACCTGGAGACACGACTGTGTGCTGAAATGCATCGCCAGACACTTAGCCATAAACACCGAGAAGAGCGAGCAGGAACTCCTCCTGAGGGTTGACCTCCCAGGCATGCTCACGGAGCAAAGCACCATCCCTGCATCCGTCTGCACCACCAACTTACGCCCTGACATTTTCCTACAATGTGGGGAATCTCGAGGCATTGTCGGCGAACTGACAATCCCAAATAACAGCACCACCAACCTGGAAAATGCTAAAATTCGCAAGTCCACCAAATACCTGGGACTAGTGGCCGACCTCTCCGAACACTTCGAAGACGTTGATTTAGTGACACTTGAGGTGGGTGCTTTGGGTCACTATCATCCGCATGACCTCATGGCAGCAATGTCCATCCTCATGCCGGGAACATCAAAGCGGACGATCAAGTCCCTCCTAACTGACATAGTGAGAACTGTGGTTAATGCTTCATACACTGTTTTCTCCAATCGTAGAGTTGAGGATGACAAGCCCTTTATCTATTACCACCATGATAAACGTGTGTATGAATAACTGTATATTTTTATCCCTATTTGAATGCTATAACCATTAGCATTTCATGTGCCAATTCATATGTATTTTTATCTCGTATATCTGCATTTACAATGCTATAACCATTTGCAATTCATGTGCCCATTTTTATGTATTTCCTTGATGCTCGCTAAACATGTGCCTGGGTTGGTTTCCCCCCTCCGACCATCTTATCATTGTTTCTCCATATTTTTTACCATTTTTAGATCATGTAAGACATTTTTTTCCTTTTCTCTTATTGAATTTTATCCAGTAAGTCTTTCGATGTACAGTTCTGCCTATTTTAAAAGATAATTGTGTTTTCTTTTACAACCCATTACAGTAGGATTTTTTGTGCAGTTTTGATTTTATTTCACTGTAAACTCTCCCCCATACCCAAATCCTTCCCCACCTCCCCACCCACCCTTCCCTTCCCCCACCCATTCCTCCAGCCAGCCCCCTCCCCCCACCCATACCCCTATCCCTACCCTCCCATTCTCCCCTCCTTTGCTCTTCCCACCCCTTCCCCTTTTCATGATTTTCCCTCCAATTGGTGTATTTTTGTTGCCTTGCCAGGCCTCCTCAAGGTTTTATCCCCTTGTTTTTACGCCTGAGTCCTAGGTTGCTTGTTTGATTTGTGATGTCACCCTCCCACTGTGTAATTTTTGTATTTTAATGTTTTAACAACCTACCGAGTACTGTACATTGTATTTTATTTCTTTTTGTCATTTTAACTAAATGTCAATAAAGGTATTTCAATATAAAACTTAAAAAAATCAAAACCAAAGATCTTGTTCTGTAGCGCCGTAGGAAACGATGCGCTGCTGACATTTTCATGGGCGAATCCATTAATTTTGCAAGGGGTGATTCAGTCCCCTTTTTTAGTTTTACATCGTTTCTTGAATACATTTCAAGAACAAAATATATATTGTGACGTTGAACAACTCATTATTTAATAAAGAAATATTTCGAACACCATAACAAGTATTAGTCGTCATTTTTCTTTTTTTAATCAGCGGAAATATTGGTGATTATTGTTCCCAAGAAAAAACACCACCCCTTCATAACCACAAATGGTGTGGTCCGCTGGGGAATTAAGCATGCTCCATGGTAGCAGCTGCACTAGTCTCACGATGGAGGAATCCTCCATGGTATCACGTACGGCTGGTCGCAAGCGTCTAAGACAGCTTTCACCGTACTTTTTACCGCTCGGTTTTGGTTTCGGTTTGTTAATAACTTTATTAATTGATAATTCATTTCAGCAACACATCTCTTCTTGTACCAGTACATTAAATACACATGTGAATCTTATTTTTATTCTTCAAGGCTCGGCCTATAAGCCGCCCTGCGTATAAGCCGCAGGAGAGTCCGCATGAACTTTTCACGTGCGTGCGCTCGGAAAGGTGAGACTTCAACTCTTCGCACTATTATTTTTACATTTCGTGCTTCTCATGCATCGCAGTTGCTTGCAATTTTGTTTCAGTGTGCTGTCGCTGTTTTTTATTATATTATTATTAATAATATCGATATCAAACATTCGTACCGATATATCGTATCGTGAACGAATGTATTGCGATGCACCGATATATATCGATGTATCATTTCAGCCTTACCTTAGACCTTATACTTCATATTTTTTATACAATTTCCTTAAAACATAAGTAGTGAATATCAAAGGTTATTAATATCACTCAATCTGAAAATAAAAAGAAAACAAAAGTCCCCCACTTGTATTATTGTCCATTCAGCCCTAAAAAAATTGTCGTGCGTCAATTTTGATCTGTTGAGTTAATTTCTTTTTTCTTTAAAATTTCTGTAGCACAAGGGCACCAAGGCAAATGATGTAACACCGTATTGAGAACTCAAACAAACAAAGCAGTACCACTTTGCTATTTTTTCCCAAGCTTGGATGGTACAGACAAGAATATTTTTTTAAACGCATCACTACATCAAGTCCAGAACTTTGGTCTGACCAGAGACCCACTATTTTTCTTTTTTTGCCTCACGGCCTGTGCGCAATTCTGTCTCATGTTGGATGAATGCCCCATACATAGACTCCCCAATTTTCGGACTAGGCATGAAGTTGATGAACCAAGGACTTCTCAATTCCTACTAGGATAACTGAGATTACAACTTGAATTAAAAAGGAATCAAACCAAACAAGCAGTAGGATCTGAACCAAAAACTTTTCAATTCATTCAAGGATAACTAAGGCTACACCTTGGAACAAAAGAGGAATCGAACCAAGGTCAAACCCATACAGGACTCAAACTTGCTACTTACTTTATCATCAATGGTGTCAATCTTAGTCACCACAGCTCCGTCAATCAGTAAAGGTTGATCCATGTCTCAATGGTGTGCTCGATTGATTGCCTTGTCCACTGCTTCGTTACCACCCAAATGACTCCCCAACCAAGAGAACTTACTTAGACTGGTGGATTTTTATCAGCTGTTTGAGCAAAAAATAACAGTAATCATAGGAAAATGAGACATTTTCTGTCTTTGTGCAGTTCTCTCTAATACTAGTGTTTAAAAATTTCCAACATTCAAAAAGGTGTCATTGAGAGAAGTCTGCTTTAGGTTGACATCATTTTTTAGAAATAAAAAAAAAAATTGATTCTAATTTGATCAAAACAAAACAGGGGCCCTACACTACTATACATGATGATGATAAGATGATGATACTGATACTAACAACATAAATCTGGGACTGCATGCATGCACTGAGCATGCTGAGAATTAACATTCCCAATTGTGTTAGGAAAATAACTCAGCATTTTTTTTTTGACTCTCATTCGTGTCCATAGACTTTTACTTTAGGTAGTGGATATTTTGCCGGAGGTAACGCCGGCAAACTAACGTTTACTTAAGGTTTGCCGGCGGCAATCCATATCAACAGTGGGCGCTGTACTCTTTAAGATAGGGCTGAATTATAACATGTTATTAAATTCCCACCAAAGTTGTGTAGCACAGTTGGTGCAGTAGTTAAGCAATGGCTCTAGTGAGTGGGATGTCCCGAGTTCGAATCCTGAACCCCGCAACAATTTTAAGGGTTTTTTTTCCCATCCCCAAATAAATAAGAATATTTTTCTTTTATTATTTTAATATGTATCAAACATTTTATTGCCGAGTATTACTTTTTCTTTTTCAGATTTGTGGCTCTGGAGGATTTTTTTTTAAAGGGAAATAAAGTCCGAAATTAAAAAATGGTCTGATTCCCATCTTGTTAATACAAAAATACAACGATAATATTGGCATGGAGCCAGACTAAAATTTGTCAGCGGAAAATGTTTAAGTACAAAAAAACAGTAACTGCACATGTTCAGTGCATATCCGGCAAACTAACGTTTACTGAAGGTTTGCCGTCTCCAGCAAAATATCCACTGCCTTTACTTTATACACACGCAAACTCACCCATTCTGGAATTTGTATTCCTGTGGAGACATTTCTTTGTGCTGGAATTTACTACCGTACGGAGACATGAACACAATAGGAAACAAAAGATTGTATACGTCTCCACAAGAATTTCACGAAATAGATATATGGATTTTACTCAAAAACTAGGAATTTCCAAGGTAGGTTGATCTGTCGCAAATGGAAGAGTTTTAGAAAAGGGATATTTAGTCCAAATTTCAGCCCAGGAAATTAATTCTGGTTAAAATAAGAGCATTTTGAAACTTCAATTTCACACTCGAAAACTTTACTACACGAGAACACCCTAACACACATACACACACACAATCGCAGAAGTGTCGTCAGCTCAGCTCAGGATGCAACATTTTTTTCCAGTAAGGCAAACACTGACATCAAGGCAATTCTTCTACCTTGGGAAAGTTGGTTGACTTCCCCCACTGCACCGCCGTCATGACATGCGAAATGATGCGATCGGCGATGACATTGCTAAGGCTCATCCAACAACAACAGAAGATGATCATCAAGCCCACGTGAACATGGTGAAGGTTTGCAAGCTAGACATGCCAGAGGTAAACGCGAGTTCATCCAAAGACTCCTCAATAGTCCAAAGGAACGGAGAGACAGAGGTTTACACCATGTCTGCAGTCCTATGAATATTAGAAATACGATAATGAAATAAGAGCATGAAACTGGAGTGGGAGGGTCTCAACCAAAGACCCATAATCACAAACGCAGAAAAGTACACAAACTATCCACACCGCGCCGAGACAGCTGCGTGTTTGGCAATTAAACTGTGTTTGGCGCCCTCAATATTGAGGGCGCCAACACGTTTCATTGACTGCATGCACCAAACCCATGACCAAACCCATTTGATCTCCAAACACAGACCAAACCATTGTACACAGTCTGAGATCAATGGCACAAACCACCAAAGACATAAACGCATAAACCAAGCTGTGTAGAAAACATGTACCTGCGTTTCCCCAAGAGCGGATCCAAAACACAATTTATTTTTTAGGGGGGGGGGGGGGGGGCAAAAAACATTTGGTCCCCCAAAAAGTGACTAAAAAAATTACGGCGTGGGGTTCGGGGCCCTTAAGAGCCCCGAAAAACTTTTGGATTCTAGATGCTCTGTGGTGCGATTCGGAGGAAATTTCTGACCAGTTTAACCAACGTTTTAAGAGGAAAAGATGGTGGTGTACTCAGTGCCTGCTTTAATTGCGACGTCACATAAAAACAAAAACAAAAATGGTTACGTTTTGAAAAAAAAAAAACAATTTTGGTACCCCCAAAAGAGGGTCAAAAAATTACAACATGCCATATCTGCGTTTTCCTCACTAGCACTAGCGCATACGAGCATAGGGGCGTAGAAAACATGCATTAGTGCGTATTATATAACCGACATACAGATCCTTGTCATTTGATTGGTGGAGCTCACATCACGTGTCATTCGTTATTGCTCCCATTCATGCCGCGGCTCAAAAAGTACTATCCGCCCATGGGGAATGGGAAATACTATTCAACAGTTAGGATCATGACGCGGTATTTGTGTGCAAATGCATGCTGGTGGGCGCGTTCAGCGTTGCGCGTAGCGCGTATTGTTCCAAAGAGCCAGCGCTACAGCGTTGGCAGGCGCGGTTCTACGGGGGGCTAGGGGGGGCTGTAGCCCCCCAAAAATTTTGTCTAGCCCCCCCAAAATAAATTCCGTTTCGCCCTTGCTATAGTGTGAATGATTTTAGGATTTTATTGGCGCTCCCCATTGAAAATATGGCATGAGCTCCCCCCCCCCTATTGATTTTCGGAGGCCTAAGTGTCTGGAAAAAATAACCGGTCAACATTTCAGCACGCCTCCCTGAAAAAAATTCTGGATCCACCGTGCTAGCCCCCCCCCCCCCCCCCCCCCCCCCCCCAAATATTGGTTCTAGAACCGCGCCTGAGCGTTGGGTTCAAACATTTTCGTAAAGGGGTGGTTTGGAAGAGAGAAATACATTTTCCTCCAGTGTTGTATTGAAATAAAAGTTCAAATATATCAAATGACAAGGATCTATATGTCGGTTATATAAAACAAATATCATGTGAGTGGCTTTAAATTGTGAAATGGGAGGAATATTATCGCTCGGTAAAATCTTGACTTTCCCAGTACACTCGGCTTCGCCTCGTGAAATGGAAAAGTCCAGATTTAACCTTGCGATAATATTCCTCCCATTCCACGCTGAGCCACTCAATATTTGTATATCACTCGAGCATTAGTGAATTACTACACAGTCATGTTTGTATATGTGCATAATATGGTAGTCTGGTTCCCAATCCAAAAGATTCTGACCATTTGTCACCAGTTCTATTTCTGACGAATTGATGAAGGGGGAATTTATTTGCTTATTTCTCATATTATACACAAACTTTTATAATTATATCCAGTATGTTTTAATCCCATGCGAATTATATTTGCGTTTGTCCGATTGTTTGTATGTCTCTGTATTTGTCAAGTTGTCATTTCGGTTTTGTTTTGTCAAGGCATCGCCATATAAGCCCCCGGCTTCGGAAGATGCCCCCATAATTGCCTTTTTTATGGTCCTTTCTTGCTTAGATATTTCCATGAATATTTAGAATAATATTACTTTAATTATATTACTTATTAATTTATTTGTTACATTTTTTCGGTCTTGTTTTCTTTTTGGCATTATGGAAATAAATGTTGATTGATTGAACTCACATTTGTATGTCTGCATGTTTGCATGCTTCGACTCCGTTCAATAGTGCCCCTGTTGACTACATGCAATTCTGCATAATGTATTGATATAATTAAAACGGCACGAGTTTATTGAGTAGTTTCAAATCTTCAAAGAGCTGACATACCAACGAATAAACAAAAACCCTGTTTCGAGTTATTCGCATTTGAAGTTGGACATTTTCTGGGCGTCGTATTTCACCCTTAATAGTTCGATAATAACGATAATGTATATTCGAAATGAAATAGGAAACTTAATTTCAATCCAATGTGATATGTTGTTTTTGAGTTTTCGTCTCCACAAAGTGTGTCAAAGGAGACTCAAATTCGGAATGAAGTTTTCGTGATTTAACTGCTTTAGGCCTATTTTCTTTAAATCATATTAAATGTATTCTTTACAGTTCACACCAATTTTCAAACGGGTTGTGACAAATGTTATGGTTAATAACTGTCTGCAATTTCAAACCAATGCAATATTTTGTTCTTGAGTTATCGTCTCAAGAAAGAGTGTCAAAAGAGGGTAAAATTCGGAGTAAAGTTTAATTAAATTAAACGCTTAGGCCTATTTTTTCTTTGAATCATATTAAATGTATTCTTCCACGGTTCACGTCAATTTTCAAACGGGTTGTGACAAATGTTATGGTAAATAATCGTTCGCAATTTCAATCCAATGTGATATGTTGTTTTTGAGTTATCGTCTCCACAAAGTGTGTCAAAAGAGACTCAAATTCGGAATGAAGTTTTCGTGATTTAACCGCTTAGGCCTATTTCCTTTAAATCATATTAAATGTATTCTTCCACAGTTCACGCCAACATGATTTTCAAACGGGTTGTGACAAAATGTTATGGTTAATAACCGTTCGCAATTTCAAACCAATGCAATATTTTGTTCTTGAGTTATCGTCTCAAGAAAGAGTGTCAAAAGAGAGTAAAATTCGGAGTAAAGTTTTCTTAATTAAATTATTTATAAATGCTTAGGCCTATTTTCTTTAAATCATATTAAATGTATTCTTCCACGGTTCACGTCAATTTTCAAACGGGTTGTGACAAATGTTACGGTTAATAATCGTTCGCAATTTCAATCCAATGTGAGATGGTGTTCTTGAGTTATATCTCTCCCCAAAGTGTGTCAAAAGAGACTCAAATTCGGCATGAAGTTTTCGTGATTTAACCGCTTTAGTCCTATTTTCTTTAAATCATATTAAATGTATTCTTTTACAGTTTACGCCAATTTTCAAACGGGTTGTGTCAAATGTTATGGTAAATAACCATTTGCAATATCAAACCAATGCAAAATTTTGTTCTTGAGATATCGTCTCAACGAAGAGTGTCAAAAGAGAGTAAAATTCGGAGTGAAGTTTTCTTAATTAAATTAAACGCGGGCATATTTTCTTTAAATCATATTAAATGTATTCTTAAACGGTTCACGTCAATTTTCAAACGGGTTGTGACAAATGTTATTAAAAATAATCGTTCGCAATTTAAATCCAATGCAATATGTTGTTCTTGAGTTATCGTCTCAACAAACTTAGAGTGTTGTATTTTTGTTTAATGGGCAGATTGTGGCCGCGTGCTGACTGTGGTTGTGTAGGGCGCCCTCTTAAAGCGTTTCATTTAATTAAGAAAACTTCACTCCGAATTTTACTCTCTTTTGACACTCTTTGTTGAGACGATAACTCAGGAACAACATATCACATTGGATTGAAATTGCGAACGATTATTTACCATAACATTTGTCACAACCCCTTTGAAAATTGGCGTGAACCGTCGAAAAAAATACATTTAATATGATTTAAAGAAAATAGGCTTGAACGTTTAATTACGAGCAATTCATTCCGAATTTTAGTCTCTTTTGACACTCTTTGTTGAGTGTCTTGTAATTGTACCTCTAGGTAACCTTGAGTAAGGTCAGTACCCACACGCACACTGTATTTTTTTGGATAAATCATTGAGAGCATGTCCAAGTGATCATGCGCAGTCAGTTTAGTTGCGAATGTGAAACTTTTATTTTCTCTGTGTACAGAATACGTGCGTGTAAGTCCCATTCGTTCTAGAATTTGTTTTGAATTCCTTTACATTTTTTTGGTCATTTAATATTTCGAGATGACCACTGGTTTAAGGTTTTTTCACGCATCCCATTCAGTTAAGTTAGTGTGTTCTTATGACCGGTTGCGGTTGAGAATTATGAACAATCGTGCCCTTTAATTGCCCCCCACACGACCAATCTCCTGACTCGAGCATGCACGTGTATACAAACCAGTTCCTGCCCTGATTCTTGTTTCTGACTTAAGAATAATGTTCTCGGTATAAAACACGTAATCTCACTAATAGTACATGTAATGTAATCTCACTTTTTAACGTTTTTGTAGTTGGTAATTTTAATACAAAAGTTGGCTCTAAATAAAGAAGCGAAGAAGACCTCGATGCGAGAATATCTTGGAGTGCTACCCTTTGCACTTTTGATAAGTTAGCCTAGGAACGAGTGCGGACTTCCTTAAGTCATTTTCTCGTGAGAGACATTCTTAACTCCTTCTCGCAATCATTTTGCAAATGATTGCTCTGTTGGTACAGAACACGGAGTCCCCAGGTCACGCTTTGAGGAGTCGACCCGGTTCGATTCTTCGCCCGGCCTGTTCCTGCATGCTTCTCACCACCACCCCTCTCTGTTTGGACCACCGTTCGCTGGAATGTCAAAATGTACTAAAAAGGATTATAACAAATGAAAAGCTAACTGCAAAATAACAAAAAAAACAATTGTTTTTCAAACGGCTGCTTTATTTACTAATAAAGGACAGCTTCGAAAATATATTATGTACACTTTCTTTCAAGACAAAGTATTAAGCAGTGTCTTGTAAATGTTCGTTTGTAGCTGCATACGTGAACTAGGATCAATAAACTTTTGCTGCAATAGATGCCCTTCCCTTATTGTTGGACACAAATTAATTGTTAACATCAATTCAACATTTTCCAGTTATTTTAAACATACAAACAAAACCTACAAATAAAATTTCAATTTTAACTTTGCATTGTTTTAGCAAAATGTTACAGGTTGTAAACATTAACAAGTAGAGATGTCACTTATCACTTCAAGTTTATAGAGGAACATACAAGTTGATCAGTAATTATCTAATTTTTTAAGTCAAACTAAAGAATCCTTTCAACTACTTCACTTGCAAAATTGCAAAACTGCACAACTATGCATTGGGGCTACTGTGACTGATCAAAAGATTCAATATTACATAATGAAACCTAGCCTCCGTAGTTTGTTTTTCATTTTATAAGTAAAACCTTCAATACAAGTGATAGAGATCAGTCTGAGACCAGACATGGACAGAATGGAGACTCTGACACCGGAATAGATTATCCTTGTCCAAGTCTAGTACATGTATACAAACTAAAGTTGAAAAAAAAAGAAAAAGATCTTTAAGAATTTCGAAACTCTTAATAACACCAAAGTAAAGAGATCGAAAGAGTTCCATACCTTCACATCACTCTACACCCTATGTACAAACCCTATCAAACTATTCTAAAAAATTCCAGGTGTTTTGTTTTTCAGTACTTGCTTTCATATTTTCCATGCTAAATCTGACTTTTTAGGGCATGTTATCGCTTTCTGATGGCTGATAGGTCACTGCAGGGACAAATTAGTGATATCCACCTATGGAATTCTTCCCAAAGAGATTGCAAATATCATTAATGCAAATGGATAAACTAAACTGGCAAACTCTACCATTTTCATAACATTCGCAATATCTTCACTCTGATATTGTTTAAAATAAATATAATTTCATTAAAAATCTGCTTTGAGAATTGTTTGTAAATTGTGCAGTTATCTTTGCAAAAACAGTCATATTCACGCAACTGAATCCAAAGAATCATAGGCCACTTCTCCTCTGTAGTAGAGCAATAACACAAATCAAAGCTGAAATTTGCAAATAAAAAGGCAACATGCATGGGTTTCCTACAAGCATTGAACACATACTTGTATTTAAAAAAAAAAAAAATGTCTGTCAACGAAAGCAAACCATTCACCTATCATCAACAATTTATGATTACCAACGTTTCTGCAATAAAAAAAGATGATTCAAGGTTTTACTACAATTTGTTGTCAAAGAAGCTGCAGTCCATGAAATAAAAAGTACTGAAAATACTAATATGATGCTAATAACCAAGGTTCCACAACAACATCTTATTGGCTAAAAAAGTATTTTAAACTTTGTTTCTACATCTAGAATGCAATCAAAGTGTTATCCAAGAGCTGGCACTAGTCTAAACACTGCTAATACTATTTACACTATTTACATGAAACCCTCATTGTGCTTAGCACTTTTAGGCTTCAGATCATTTTTCACATTTTCCACAATAAATAATTTTTTCAACAAGTTTTGCAAACTTGCGACAAGAACTTGTTTAGACGGAAATACTGTTAATATTTCACACAACGATCAAGGCTTTATACAACTCATTAAAAGAAAAAATACAAAAACCAATAAGGGAACAGTTAAACAAAAATAACCAAAACAAACTTTAAAGGACAAAAAGTAACTCAATAAAATGTTCACCCCCCCCCTCCCAGAAAAAAAACATATTGCATTGATGTGCAGATTTTCAAAAAGTTAACCAAAACACAAGTTCTCTACTTTACGTCTTTCATACACACAGTAATGGCTGATTTCTTGCTCTCCAAAGTAATGACTTCAATTCAGAGGAATCAAAACACTGAGATTCCTTGACAATAGAGTTTTGTGAAAAACAAAATCTGGTGTAATGACTTGCTCAGAATGCTTGGAACATTTTAACTTTGATTTTGTCCAGACCAAAGACACTGTTGCTTATCACATGATTCAGGGCAAGCTCTTGCATAGTCTCGCAAATGGCTTATTAGTGGATGGAGCAGGATATACTGGCTAGTAATTTTCTGGTAAGTTCAGTGATGCAATGTTGGCAAATTAGGCTCTTCAAGATTTTCACCAGACTTGGTCCTTCTTTGGCATGATGAAGCTCAAGACATCAAGGCTTAACACAGCCCATGCATATCAAACTGTCAAATGCTGTGACACAGCAATGAGTTGGTATATGTACATGTATTTCAATACTGGTTGTTTTTCATTGGGCTTCAAGCGTCAATTAAATATAATTGTTTTATCGTGCGCTTAGATACTGTAATTTCATTGGTTTAGGGCAGCCAAACACTGAGGGTGATATTGCACAGCATTCACTGCGCATGTTGTGCATGCTTGTGGAACCTGCCAGCGCACTAGCTTTGCACAATGAGAACTGCAACATCAAACGCTCAGTTTCATGTCCAGCAGGACGAGTTATTAATTGATAAATATCGCCCTTTTTGCCGGCTTCCATTGGCCGATACCGAGACCCACGCCAAAACACGACGAGTGACGCTAATGAATATAATCTACCATACTCAGTCAACCATAGCGCACATCGCAGTGATACAACTTGTTTCTCACAGTTACTTGCAACCATTTATCTGTTTGAGTAAGCCAAAAAAGTAATAGTTCTGCTTCCGTTTACTCTACCTACCCTATTTTGCCAGCCCCTACCCTGCTTTTTTTGGGAAAAATTAAAAAACAACAACTAAAAACCATCAAATACTACTACCTTTTCCCCTTGACTACACACAGATACCTCTATATGATTGTACAGTGGGTTTCTAGGCCCCAACCAACATATGATTCAAGTAAATGAAAGCAATTATCAAAACAAAAGATCAGCTTGAAATATGAAATACCCAGTTGTTTATTTCCATGTAGGACTGTAGAAGTTGATGCTGTTTTTCTTTGCCCAGTTGCTGAAGACGCATCTCTCAGTTGCTAATCGTTGTCCTCCATGTTCAATATTCTCATGGTAGTCATACACCATACATTCTGGTAGTGATGGGGTCTTGAAGTAACTGTATGGGACTGTACTGTCCGGGTTCAACCTGAGACAGCAGTTGGGAGGCAAAATACAATGAATAATAAATAGCTGTTCCTTTCCTAGAAATTTGCTAGAATCTTTCTTATGAACATAACAGCTACAAATCTAAAGATACCATCCGTGCAAGAACTGTTCTTTGTCTGAACTCACAACCAAAGTTCCTCATGGGACAATACCATTGCAAGCACACCATCTGTTGCAAGCCTATCATATTGTACTCCCAGTCAGCACAGTCAAAGAAGGTCAACTTGTATGTAAGTCTATATCCACTAAGCTTCTATTCATATGCCGTACTAAACTTTGGAGATAAAAAAATGGTTGGTAGGAGGAGCTATCCTTGATTCTGCAAGATTTTCGCCAACAAATTACACAGAGCCATTGCAGACACGAGGACATGGGCACAACTAGGCATTGATCTGAATGACAGACTGGTGGAGGGTCGGCCAGCAGGACAGTGAAAATGTTTGTCTGTAACTCACTTTCAATTTCAATTTTGTATTTTTTCCATTTATTTGATGTCCTGTTCTGTTATTCCATTTATTGCCTTCACTATCCTGAGGCCCATTGTTGCCATTGTGTTGACAGCAAAAAATCCTATCCTGAACATTGTGCTGGTAGTGTATTTGGGTAGTCACAAAGACAGGCAAGTATCCTTTTCATGCATGGCTGAATATCAGTTTACTGACTATAGTCAATACCCAGACCAACTATTGGCTGAAGAGAGAAACTGGTAACATTTCCCGTTAAGTGGGAGATCGGTCATTTTTTTTACTCAACCTGTACAGTCGTAATTTTAAAACTTTGCTCTTTGCATTCCCATTTATATTAAATGTGGTTATGGAAACTTAACAACAGTAATTAAACATTTTACTCTCATCTTTTTAGACCCACCTGCAATAGTCTTGTGGTGACATCCCATAAACTTTAATATCACTACAAACATCCTTCATGATCTGCAGAGCATGAAAACCGGAAGAAAACTCTGTACCTGACGATATCCTAAAAACAAGGAAGAAAAGAATACTGTTAGGTTCATATTCATGACACCCTGTATCAAGTAAAAATGGAAAAAAAAAACATTCTGAAACAGCTCTCTGCAAATAGTTGACAAGCTTTTCAAATAAATATTCTTACAAAACTTGCAAAATAACATAGACTTTGCTTGTACTCAAAGTTTTCTCCACGTTACTGTTGGGATTTTAATTATTTGATATGACTAAGGAGCATGAATCTTATGAATCTTCATCAAATATTTCAGGGTTGAGATTGGAAGGAACTGACACATCACCAGGCAGAGGGGTCGAGGGTTACTAAGGGGGCCAGTCTGTGCTAGCATTTGCCTACAAAAAAATAATAATGAAAATAATGAGCATTTATAAAGCACCGGTATCCGCCACAAGCAGCACTGATGGCGCTGCACTGCATAACAAACAGAAAATAAGAATAAAGAAATGAATATAAGAACAAAAGCACCCCGATAAAATTGCTGAAATTAGAAAAAAGCCCAACAAATTTTCCGCTGAATAATTACAAAGAAAAAATACTTGGCAAAAATCTGACCTTGTTTTGCCGGTGTACCTCTCATAGTCGGCATTCATTTCACTGTTGACAAGACTGGAAGGTTTGTAGAAGTCTAGCTTGGGATACTTGCTGGACAGATGACTGACTAACTTTGGCAGAGAACCAAATGAGAAGACGTGATCAGGTCCATGGATGAACACAGTCGACAAGGATGGATGATTGTCCAATAGGGTACTTGCATTGGCTATAACCTCTTGCAGACTGAAATAAAGGCAACGTATAATGGTTAAACCCAAATGTTCTAGCACTGGTTCCAAGAAGTCAACAATTGTGAAAGACAGTCACTCCTGTCATGCTAACCTTATAAATGATGCTCTACATCCACAATGAACAATGAAACATAAAAAGAAAGCCAGCATTGTATGGCAGCTATCTCCAATCTTTGATGACAATTGACATTTTTCAGATATTGTTGTAACCTACCCTCCTTGGGATACAACTCTAGCAGTAGTCCTACGCCCCACATCCAGTTCATAAGCCAAGGTTGGTGCGGCATTTAATCTGAAGACACAATCCCCCTCATCAATCTCATCTCCTAGTCTAGAGCCGAGAATGTGACCTAGAATGGAATGCAAAACATTGATAAGATGCATTGTCAAAGAAGTTTTCCTGTCTTCATTTGACAAAATTATCAAACCCATTTTCCTGAAGAACGTTTATTAAGCACATTAAATTGAACAAAAATCCAACAATTTCGAAAAGTACAACAAAGAAAATTGACTGGAGTGGCGTTTAAACCAGCGACCTCTAGATAAGTGTTCCAATGCTCTACCAACTGAGCTATCTGGCCCTTTGTTGGCAGTTCCCCAATTGTCCCTGTCTTTGTTCAAGGGGAATTAATTAGAAGCCATAAACTTGTGGTTCAATTAAACAAATATCAAACAACATACATGTACTATGAAACCTGCTGAACACCAAGGTCATTTATTCACTCTCAGATCAACACATTCCAACATAAATGTCCCACTTCCCAACACTCTATTTAACAAGAATTGAGATGTGATACACTTCCTTCCATCAAATACATGATTCTCACCTGAATTTGAGACAAGGGAGCATGTCCCACATTGAAGCGTCTCTCCCCTGTTAGTCTCCTGCTCAAGCGAGGTGAATCTACCAGATTCATCAACCACCTGCGCCGATGAAGAATGCCGATATTCATTCAGAATTTCTCGTCGTGAGATCAGCTTGGGATGGTTGCTTTCTACTAGCAGCCTACGACTCTCGTATCTTTCACGCATTCCAAGGGGCATGGGATCGACTTCGTGGATGTGGTACGTCGGCCCACGAATTTCCTTGGTAGTGACATGGCGTGGGACAAGCTTGTGTTTGTAAGGAACGCTGGACTGAGCATAGATGTACATGTAGATGATGACATATTGAAAACACAGCACCACAAAGAACATGGAAACCAACTTCTTGATTCTTGATATGGAAAACATCTTGCCAGACACTGGAAAGACAAATGTGGAGGAAAAAATGACTTGTTAACAATAATCTAGAAAAAAGAAGAAGGATGGAACGCATCAAAAATCCCCCCCCCCCCCAAAAAAAAGGATCTGAGGCAGAAGGCAGGCATGCATATCCACAGCCGGAGAAAACTGTTGATTCAAGTTTCAAACGTTTGATTTATTTAATCAAATTAGGTTTTGCCCTTCAGTCACCGACGTTTATGATTTATTTAAACCTGAACACATTTCATAATCACAGTCAACAGAGCAAAGGACTCAATGCACAAACCATGGAGGTGGGAATAGCCATACAAACCAACCACCTCCATGAACCAACTGAAAAAGAACAACTATTATCTGAATAACTACTCTTGACAATATTAACCCAGCCCAGTTGTTAACCTCGGGAAATTTGCATACAACTGGATTACTCCCCACACCCAGCTAGCTGTGCACCCCACATAAACTGTGGACACTTCAATGCCTTGAGAAAGGGTGTCAAGTCTAGCCTCTCAATATCAACAATGGGGATTAGCTAACAATGGTCATCTACAGACAGTATTAAACTCTTATACAATAGAGCAAGGACCAGTGTTTGCTTATGCAAGTCTGACAGTGAGAGTGGTCTATAAAGTAGGCTACTCAAGTTTGTAACATAGCTTACAGGATCATTATATTGATGCTAGAAGATCAGATGAAATAAGTATATGCAGTAAGCCCAGTCAATTCAAGATTTGGTAGTGTTTATTTACAAATGGCAAAATAGCAAAGTCTGTGTTTGATGCTATTTTTTGCAAATAAATTATTCAACCTCAATACTTTTTCAAGAAAAAGATGTACATGTGCTACTAGTACTAGCCTAGGTAGGGTTTATTTCCCAGAAACCCAAGAATGGTTTTGTACTGACAATAAATAACTGCACCCCAGCCCTCACAGAAAACTATATTCGCGTTTTTTTTTTGTTTTCTAAAGCGCGCCAATTATTCACATGACCGAATCTGAGAGCTGGACTGAGAATGGCTGCTGGAAAGTCAGTCATGCAAACAGCACGTGTAGCCTACCGCCCTCAGCAGTACAATACAGGGCTAGCCAGCCAAGCCGGGATAGCTGCGTGATATTTCATCATCCATAACCCACACATCAAGGTCCCCACTCTCAATGCTTACACTCAGTAATGTATGCTATGCAGTTGTATTAGCCCAGGGCACATTCATTGACTGTGAAACATACAACCTAATAAAGGTTCTTTGTAAGTTCATAGAAGGTTACTGATTAAAGGATAAAATAATCTGGGCTCTAAAATATCCAGAACTAGAAAATAGACAATTCTTAGCAAAGTTAATAATATTGTGACTTCTAGGTGTACGTTCATGGAGCTAATTTATAGCTCCATTTATGGTACATTCAACTTTTTCCATTTCAGCTTGCACTTGTGTCAACATACTGACAAAGAAATTACTGATTTCAGCTCGGGGGACAAACACAAGAAAATAAAATCAGAGGTGAAATTCAAATCTGTGCAAGCCAAAAGTTGCTGGTTACCTTTGCCAGTAGGTCCTTATGGGTATACATTTGTACATGTAGACTGTAGTCAGCATGGAATCAGGCTGCCTGCTTGTATTAATGGGTACTGTTTACGTGATTGCATCATCATGCTTTGCTAATAGGAAGCTACAGTTAGTTCAATGTATTTCTTTAACTTTTTTTAATCTGTGTACTTATCTGTAAATTATTTAAGTGTACTTGATGGAATTTTAGATTTTTCTTACTTTATTGTGCCTAGGCCCGTAATAATCTTATGAGCTGTTGACAAAACAATTCTCTATAGGGCCTACTGGCATGACTGGATAATAAAGAGAACTGAATTGATTGATTTATATCAGTGACTTCAGTTCAGATTACAAATCTGGGAAAAACCCAGATTTAAATAGGCCCAGATTTTCAACTTTGTAACAATTTGTCAGAAGGCTTTATTTTTATTAGTAGGGTTCATCAGTATCAACATTTTCTTTCAACAATGAGTAGCAAATACATCTGTCACTTTGGCGCTTGAAAAAAGTGGTGGCCCAGTACCGAATTCTTTCCAAAGTACTTGCTGTATCTGGATTGACATGAGATTCTTGAGAAAGGTCTTAGTCTGGCCCTAATGTTTAGTAAGTACTAAGTAGGCCAAATTAAGGGAAATATGCGGCGAGATTTACAATCAGTAGGCCTAATAACAATTTTACAATTTAGTAAACAAATCCAGACAATACTTATAGTTCCTATGTTGATTAAGACTAGCCCATAAATGTGGCCAATTTACTGGACTACCTCTGTTATACCCAGCCAGTTTTGAGACAAATGAATTCATGGTCTGTGTTTGTAGCACTGCTACATGCTACAAGAAATAGTAAGTTGGGTGATATGTTGATGATTTATTCGAATGGGATGGGCAGAGCCACCGTTCGGTCAAAGAACCAGACCAGGGTGTTCACTGAACACACTAAAAAGTGCTACAACATTGACTTGTGCACAAATTAAATGCTACACAGTGCTAAACGCTAAAATGAAAGGGCGAAAAGGAAGGGGCCGCGGCAAGTAGCAAAGAAGTGCTACACCATTGACTTGTGCACAAATTAAATGCTACACAGTGCTACACGTGTTTGAAAGGGCAAAAAGTAAGGGGCTGTGCCAAGTAGCAAAAGTTGCTCCATATGACATCTGTAAATAAAGGCCACTTGGAACATGTTACAAAAACATGTACTCATGTAGGCCTAGGCCTAGAACTTTGTCATGTTTGTCAAATTTTGATTTTCACATTTAGGCTTAGTATTAGTTTGTAGTTAATATGTTTGCTTTAGATGCATACTCACCCTCTTAATAATAGGCTAATCAGAAAGTGCTGCCTTTTTCAGATGTCTCTTTTTCGTGAAATTTCCAGATTCGTTAGCACATGTTTGCGTATCAAAATTTCAACATGAAATTTCACAAAAAATTGACATCTGAAAAGGCAGCACTTTAAAGAGGATGGTGAGTATGCTTCTAAAGCAAAATAAACTACAAACCATTATTAAGCCTAAAAATGTGAAAATCAAAGTTTGACAAAGTGTTTTTGTAGTTTGTACATGTTCAGAGTCATGCAAGTGTGGCTGTTACGCCCCAACTATCGCATCAGTCCCAACTATAGTTGGGACTGTCCCAACTATAGTGCGGCAGTTGGGTCGGCCCAACTATAGTTAGGGCTGGAGTTACGCCGGATGCTTCATGCTTGATAGATCTTGTTGGATTAAATGTTCCGCGGCGCTGGCACCGTGTATTCATCGTGCATGCATGCCGCAAGGCTGGCCGGTCACATGGTACTACTGTCTAGTTTTTAGTTGGATGAGTTGTCCAGCTGCTGGGTTTTATTGTCCAGCAACATTTTGCAAAATTCAAAGATTGCCATGGCCGGCCAACTATAGATGGGCCCCACCCATAGCTAATGTCAAAGGTCCCAAGTAAAGTCGGACATGTAACAGAGCTGTGGGGAATGTTTTATAGTGGTACATCAAAGTAAACTATAGTTGGGACCGCCAAATAAAAATATTGCGGTGGCCCAACTTCAGATGGTCCCCACCCATAGATAATTTCATTGGTCCCAAGTAAAGTCAGATGTGTATTAGAGTTGTAGGGAATGTTTTATAATCGTACAACAATGTACACTATAGTTGGGACTGCAAAATAAAAAGATTGGGGTGGCCCAACTATAGATTCTCCCCATCAATAGCTAATTTCAGTGGTCCCCAGTAAAGTCAGACGTGTATCAGTGCTGTAGGGAACGTTTTATAGTTGTACATCAATGTAAACTATAGTTGGGACACCACAAAATAAAAAGATCGGAGTGGCCCAACTATAGATGGGCCAGCCCAACAGTGGAACTTACAGTTGGGACTGTCCCAACTATAGTTGGAACAGGCCCAACTATAGTTGGAACAGGCCCAACTATAGTTGGGCCAGCCCAACTGTGGAACTACAGTTGGGACCGATGCGATAGTTGGGGCGTAACATGGCCTTTATTTTACATGTTTTACAGCACTACTGTCACGACTGTTTGTAGGCCTATAGGCCTACTCACACTATTGCATTGGTAGGATCAATAGTCCAGTAAACTGGCCACATAATATTCTGATTACGACCACAAACATGTTAAAATAATATTCCTAAAAAATAACTTTAATTATTCGTAGTAAAAAACTTAGACATTGTAGCACGGTAATGTCAAAACTACAGCCACCTACATAGGCCTAGGCAGTATACGAATCAGTTTGGGAAACTTGAAAAAAATTGAAAACAAAACATGATGTACCACTACCATGTTTGTGTACTAGGCCTAGGGCCTAGCAGTAGTATGTTGTACCAGGCTTCACTTAAAAACACATTTAGGGGGCCTACCTTTCTGTTGACGAAACAAACTGTATGAAATCCAAAGAGCAAGGCAGCGAAAACAACTTGAACAAGCACTAATGTCTTCCCGGGCAAAACATCAGCGAAAATACGAGCGGGAATGTGGGTTAGAATAGAGCGCGATTCCGTAGTAGGATATCATAAACGCACATGGCAAAATACCACAACAACACTCAACAGAGTGAATGGCACGCGTCCAAGTCGTGAACACTACGTGCAGTTAATTCTCCATTTATTACTTTCCCGCCATGTGTACATTTATCATAGGAGCGCAGCAAAATTACCTCAAACTATACCTACACAATTACAAAACAAAATGTGTTCATTTATTGAATATAATTTGTTTTTATTAACATTTTCGAACGGGCATATTGCATAGACGGATTGGGACAAGTTAGCCCATGTATACGTTATAAATTAGTGTTGTATAAAGTTGTCCCTCCGGTTGTTGGGACTATAAACCCCCGCTACAAACTGATGTCGCCCAGTGAAAATGATGCAATCAGTACATGAACGCAAGTCTTTTGCCAGTCGGCGCGTGTGCACGTCGTACACGCGCCCATCCTCACTCAATTGGGGGGGGGGGGGGGGGGGGGGGGGGGGGGGGGGGGGGGGGGGGGGGGGGGGGGGGGGGGGGCTGAATTCTGCTTATTGGAAACATACAGTTTTCTTATTGTCTCACCGAGTGTTATTTACTGACATACAACGAAACACTGAAAGCAGAACAATAACAAAAAAACATGCAATTCAGGTCACTTTGTATGCTGAAATGAGTGCACGCGAGTTTCTGTCTAGTAACATGCAGTTTTGTTCTTGCAAAATGGTACCAAAAAGCCCTCATAAGTGGCAATGAACATTAAAATAACTAAAATGGAACAGATTTCAAGGATTGCAATTAAAAACTGACGTACGGTGTGAAAGGGTTTAACCAATTTTATACCGACAATTCTGTCATATATATTCATGAAAAAGGCTTACTCACTGAGAAGCCAATTAACTTGCCAGGACAATGTTCTTCTTGCTCAATCACATATTACACATAAAGTCTTTTAAATTTTCAAACAAGATTTCTAAATTAGCAAAAAAACACCAAACACACCAACATATCCCCAATCAATCACTAGAACTACCAATTTGTTAAAAGAAACTTGTGTTACAAATTCATCAATGTTTTTAATTATTGATATGAACAGCATTCCAGTTTGACATTAACTTTGTTACAAGTTTTTAATTTCCTGAATATAATTAAATTTGTTACAAGTTAATTACTTTTAATGAATTGTAGTTTCTTACAGTAAGTGATATGGAATGTGAGCTTTAAACAGACCCAACAAGGGTAAGGCTTGCTAAAACCTTGGGAATAAGACTTGAACAATTCACATACACAGACTGGGAATTTAATTATTTCAAATCAATGGATATTTACTTCAAATGTATTTTTGGGGAAGGTCTTTTAATCTAACGGTGCACGGCATAAATGGATTAAATTGGTGAATCACTTGGAAAGGTACATGTGCCAGTTAAAATTCTGCACTGAATTTTACCAACAAAATTTGGTCAGGACTAAAGTGATGTTAAGTGGCATTGCTTCATAAAAGTTACATATACATGTAAATCAGTGGGCTCCAGGTGCAGATCTAGTTGGCAGGAAAGGTGGAGGGGTGATATCAAGGCAGACTGGGGGGGGGGTATAAGGCATGCCAAATGCACATCCTGCTAGGGAGTATAATTAGTGAAATGTCACTGATGATATTTCTTGTCTCCTGTGCTTTTAATTGACAAAACTAGAGAATATGCTTTTGTAAATGAATCACTATAGACAAATGTGGGTATATGATAACTGTAAATGCACAAACTCCCCTTCACTGAATGAAACCATTGTGTGTGGGATTTTACCAAGCAATCAGCCCTTGACAGACTATCTGAACAATAGCTAGCACAATGTTTTTGCCATGGAAGGACACCATTGTGATAGAGTTGACAACATGCTCAGACTGGTCCATAAAATAACAACCAATTCATATCATTGACATTAACTATTACAACACGACCAGCACTCAAGCATAATCAGTGAAGTCATCAAGAGTCACCGAAGATCCTTTCCTTCTTTCATGATGTCTAAGAGACGACGTGGCTGCCATTGCTGCTAACGTATTGGAGGGCGCCCCCTGGGAGATTTTGCCTCTAAGACGTTTGATTTGACGCAATCTTTCCAGCCAATTAGAGGTGTAAGCTTCAGCCAAGCTGCCTCGCATTTGGCTCTGGTAGATTTGAGAAGCAAGCTATTCAGGAAATAAAACTACGTATTACAAACATTTTTTGTGAACATTCAACTGCATGATTGAAACAAATAAAGAGATCCTGATTAATATAAAAGCAATTCATATTCCCAATACGTTAAATTTGAGAAACATTTCTCTAATGTCAACCACATCTTTAATAACTGACTTCCTCTTTTGCTACCTTTTGTTTTCTAGTCTGCACTTATACCCAATGCTGGCGACTATTGTGCTCCAAGCCTCAGAATGATAATTCCGCCACTTAGCCACTGATTAAGGGTGGATCAAAGGGGGTGGTCAGGCCAGGGTACCTGACCCTAACCCCCACCCCACACACTTTTGTTTATAAAAAGGCAACAAACAGTACATTTTCTGAAGATCCCTCAAAAACCTGTTCACTCATGTTGCTTCATCTTTGATTCATCGCTTTAAAATTTTGGGTTGTTTGATGCACTGAATGCAACACCTCACCCCTTGAAGGGTCTTGACTCCACCCGCCCCCCCCCCCCCCCCCCCCCGAAAAATCCTGAATCTCCAAATGACAATTGATTATATTACCTTACAAAGGCCATTAATTGTTTTAGAATTCATGATTCCTCCGCTGGATATTATAAAGTATAAAGTCACCATGGTAAGACTGCTTCTTTAGTGAAAGAAGGAAACAAGGACAATTATTACACAAAACTGAACCAAAATGTGTATTTCACGAAAGGTCGGCATGTCTGCAATCTACTCACATTGGCATGTAGTGCCATCTGACGCACTAACAGTGGCAGGTTCTTGTTGGTGATCATCCGCGGACCACGGCTTCCAATCATTGCCTCCAAGTCTGAAATAGGGGGATTTATGTAATTAAGTAATACTGTGAGAAATAATTACAGCAACAACTGACATCACCTGAGCACATTTAAGAACTTTAATTTTGAAAGCAATAACTCAGAACTAAGAGAACTGACTAAAATGAGATGTGAACATGCAACCTCCAGCATACTTTGGAACATTTCATCCATATTTACTTTAGGGTGCGTATGATTCAGTATGAACCTTGAACTCTGACCTTGTTTGGCTTGGACTGTGACCAGATTGCTCTCACTATCTAGTGGTTCAATGACAATCTCTGCAAAGTTGAACTGGCCCTGAAATGAAACAAAGATAGTACAAGCAGTGTTCAAATTGAGTCCCTTACAAGTCTGGTCCAAAGTTAAATACACTCCATTCAGAAGTCCAGTAAAAGGGATGAAGTGCATTTGAGTAACTTGTGACTTAATTGGAGGCTATGTGATTGACGTGAGGATTTCTTAAAACTAAGATTTATGGTTGACAATTGCTATATGTGCGAATATGTGTGAATTGTTTTCGTTTTGCTGAAAGAACGCACACCTTTTTTTGTGATCCGCGGACAGAACTTTAAAATGGTGGTTGTGTTTAGAACTCCGTAACTTGAAAAGTACATGAGTGATTCGAATGATTCTTGTACTAAAAGAAAGCTTATGAATTTGGGATTTCATATCCTAGATTTTGAAAGTGCTACATCCAGAGCTTCACTAAAACAATAGTCCCGACATATGAGTTTCGGTTTTTTCCCCTCACCCTGTAGTACAGGCTTCCCATTGAATTCAACAACTCATTGCTACTTAAAACTCACACTCAGAATCACAATTTAACACGAGCAGTGAATTACATTGGAATATTGGAATGCAATGTTGTATCAAAATACTACTTACCAATAAGAATGACGAATTTTAAATGAATGGCAGCCATTGGTGAGGTGTAAACATGTAAACATGTAAACAACAGATGGGTGCTCACCTTGATTGTTCCAGCTGGTATGGTTCTTTACTCTCGTTGTACACAATGGACACAAAGTCATTACCAATGTGAAGTTTCTTGCAGTTACAAGTCGGGTCTGATTCCTTATTGGGCATCAGAGTTGCCACATGGAAAATTACTGCAAAAAAAAATTCAAGATAAAATCAAAACCTGTTTTGAAGGTTTATTCATTACCGAGATAATTTTTAACTCATGAAATTGCCTGTTTGATCCAATGAAAATTGACATCAGTGCAGTTAACAATGATATAATGAAGAGATCTGCAATACATTATATGTCATTCAGTATTCATCTTATTCAGATGATATTATTCATGCCTTTCAAAGAGACGAAGTGGTAATGCAGGGTTCGACCTTAGCAGTGGTCCGCTGGCCAAATGCCAGTTGAATTGCCGGCGGACCAGCTGAAACACCTTGCCAAGTGGTCCGGCTGGCCAGCCAAAAAAATCTGCGTCGAAAAAATGCTTGTTGTATTTATTTGGTTTCTTACTTACATTCGCTATTTTTTTCAAAAGAAACCTCCGTTATTTTTACAAATTTGCTTCGCGATATGACTACTTCGCAACTCGATGTCACGGTGACTATAATCATGTGCGTAAACCCAGCTCAATGTGGCGATGACTGGTTCCCGCCGCGCCAATTTAGAAGACACGATGAAAATGCGGTAACTAGTCTGTGCACGGCTATGCGATCGATTACTCCTAGAACTATGAGGCTCCACGTAGTGGAGCCTCATAGATTAAGAACCCCGCAAAATTGTTTTCAGCACAAAACACTAATTAAGTACAAAAACGTCCATCAAAATGCAGAAATTTCCCACAGAACCGCTGCACAGTTTGCCCCCAAACTCCGCACCACACCTCATGACATACATCGCTGGATTTTGTCTTTTTTTTGGCTAAAATGATGAAAAATATGCCCTTTCCGCACTGAGCCAACCTGACACTTGAAACGTGCACGCATATGATCGAGCGATGATTTTCGGTTCGCTCGGAGCGCGCCGCGGGGGGTACGGTACAAGCACTTGTGCGCATGCGCATACTATCATTTCGCTTGTACCGTACCCCCCGCGGCGCGCTCCGAGCGAACTGAAAATCATCACTCGATCATAATTATGCGTGCACGTTTCAAGTGTCATGTTGGCTCAGTGCGGAAAGGGCATATTTTTCATCATTTTAGCCAAAAAAAAGACAAAATCCAGCGATGTTTGTTCTGCGCATATTTTGTGAGTATGTCATGAGGTGTAGTACGGAGTTTGGGGGCAAACTGTGCAGCGGTTCTGTTGGAAATTTCTGCATTTTGATGGACGTTTTTGTACTTAATTAGTGTTTTGTGCTGAAAACAATTTTGCGGGGTTCTTAACCTATGAGGCTCCACTACGTGGAGCCTCATATTTCTAGGAGTAGTGATCGATAGAGCTAGCATGGCTATGCATTGTGCAGGCGCCAGGCACGTGCTCTGTCAACTGGTCGGATTCGACATCGTAAAAATGCCAAGAAAACACCGATGGAGAAAGAACATTTTTTGCAAGTTAATTTACAGAATTGATCTAGCTTGTCTGTGTATGTATTTTCTGTGTTCAACAGTTCATTTTGAGATCGCACTACTCGTATTTGGAGTGATACATGCCGTGTGTTTCCCGAAATTTTTGACCGTAAAAACAGGTCTGTCGGCCCATGGTGGGCCGCTCGCCACACACGCACGCATCACACACCTCGGAGTTTCGGCCAGCTCCCCGCGTCTTGACTAGCGTTGTGCATATGGTGCGAACGACCTGAATTTTCCATTATTTTTTTAAATTATCGAACGTCAATATATTGACAATAATTAAAGGTAGGTTTTATTCACTTTTTGTTGCCATTTCGTGTATAGCTTTCGTAGTGCAATGAAACTAGTTCAGGCTAAAACTTCGCATATAATTGAATACCCCATTCAATCTGCATAAAAAATTGGCAAAAAAAAGAAGAATTTCCGACCGACCGACCCTATTTTTGAAAGGCATGTAATCGGAAGCAGAACTATTTTTTTTTGGCCTAATTAAGGTAGGTTTTATTCACTTTTTGTGGCCATCTTTTTGTGTATAGCTTTCATAGTGCAATGATAATAAAATCAGGCTAAAACTTCGCATACTGATGCCTAATTGAATACCCCATTCAAACTGCATAAAAAAAAATGGCCCAAAAAAACCCAAAAAATCCGACCGACCGACCCTATTTTTAAAAGGCATGTAATCTGAGGCAGAACTATATATTTTTTTGCGGCTCAGATCATGGAGGAAGAAAATAGACCTCTATTGCTCAGGTGACATGACGACATGGGTGTTGATGACTATAGTCTTGTTATGACTTATGTGAAACTGATTAACTGGTGGGTACACGCTGTTAAGACGGACCAGACAAAAACCTGGCGGACCAGTCAAAATTCTAGCCAACTGGTCCGGCTGGCCAGTCAAACAAAAAGGTAAGGGCAACCCCTGTAAAATAAGCCATACATTTGTGCCAATATTCTCAACTTTCTTAACCTGGAATCTTGACGAGACTCACCTTGCATTATATCATCGTGCCACCAGTAAGCAAACTTGCCATCACTTCCTTGATGATCTAGACCACCGGTGTACACCTCGTTAGGAGAGACGTCTTTGAGTGATATCAACCTACCAAGACCTCGAAGGAACTCTACATAACGAGTTGATCCGTAGACATTAGATAAGATGGCTGTCTGGTCTTTTGTCTGTGGGAGAAGGAGAGAGTTGAACCATAGACATTTGATAAGATGGCTGTCTGGTCATAGTCTGTGGGAGAGGGAGGGAGTTGAACCATAGACATTGGATTAGTCTGGTCATAGTCTGTGGGAGAGGGAGGGAGTTGAACCACAGGCATTGGATAAGATGGAGTCTGTGGGAGAGGGAGGGAATTGAACCACAGGCATTGGATAAGATGGCTGTCTGATCATCAGTCTGTGGGAGAGGGAGGGAGTTGAACCACAGGCATTGGATAAGATGGCTGTCTGATCATCAGTCTGTGGGGGAGGGAGGGAGTTGAACCACAGGCTTGGATAAGATGGCTGTCTGATCATTAGTCTGTGGGAGAGGGAGGAGTTGAACATAGACATTGGATAACTGGAGTCTGTGGGAGAGGGAGGGAATTGAACCACAGGCATTGGAAAGATGGCTGTCTGATCATCAGTCTGTGGGAGAGGGAGGGAGTTGAACCACAGGCATTGGATAAGATGACTGTCTGATCATCATCTGTGGGAGGGAGGGAGTTGAACCACAGGCATTGGATAAGATGACTGTCTGATCATTAGTCTGTGGGGGAGGGAGGGAGTTGAACCACAGGCATTAGATAAGATGGCTGTCTGATCATTAGTCTGTGGGAGAGGGAGGGAGTTGAACCACAGGCATTGGATAAGATGGATGTCTGGTCTTTAGTCTGTGGGATAGATATGGAGTTGAACCATAGACAATGGATAAGATGGCTGTCTGGTCTTTAGTCTGTGGGAGAGGGAGGAATTTGAACCACAAACATTGGATAAAATAGCCTAAGCTGTCTGGTCTTTAGTCTGTGGGATAGGGATGGAGTTGAACCTTAGATATTGGATAATATGGCTGTCTGGTCATGGTCTGTGGGAGAGGGAGTTGAACGGTAGACATTGGATAAGATGGCTGTCTGGTTTTTAGTCTGTGGGAGAGGGAGGGAGTTGAACCATAGACACTGGATAAGTTGGCTGTCTGGTCGTGAGTCTGTCAAAGGAAGAGGACAGAGCATGCTAGGCACTATAGGGTAGGTCCAAGAAAAGGTCCCCTTTCTGTCCCATACGTAACACCATGTTTCCTTTAATAACAAAATCATTGCAAAGACTAATAACTAACAAATTCTTATGGTTATTTTCCTGGCAGTAGAAAAAACACTGAAATCCATGAATAGATTAGAGGGTAACACTTTTGTTACATATGGGACATAGCGTACGCAAATTCTACTTAGACAATAACTACCTACCTGGCCTGATCCTACGTACAACACTCCTATCTTGTGTGTGTCATAGGGTGGAATTCTGTCTAGTACCTTGACTGCCCGCTGAGTCACCTGCAAATAAAATGATGAATTTTGGTTGCACATCCGAATGTTTGAGCAAGGAGAAATTAAACACATCAGGGAGTAGTTTTGTAGAGTAAATGTCACACACATAATGATTGTTTATGACTACAATAGTGATAATATTGGCATGAGTTGAAAGATGGATCTTCTACTCAACGAGGCGAAGCATCACCTGGCAGTTCCGATATTTCATCTTTTGTTGATCAGATTTATTAAGGTGTTGTTTTTAATACCCTACAATGAATGCTACAGGCAACACACCTGTGATAAGGGGAGAGCCATTGGTCTTTCTGTGTCATCAGAAAACATCGGCGAATAGTAGATCTGAAGAAAGATAAAACTAGGTGGAAAGAAAGATGAACAGGCATTAATTAAAAAACTGAGTCAAACGTATTACGAATTTGTAAGACTCACATGAATAATATCATTTGATAAGAAAATCAACTCTAAATATAGACTAAACCTACTTTGAGTCCATGTTTGTGTTCTATCAGCATCAAAATAGAAATGAATAGGACTGCTGCAAACTGCTTTCAGACTGGATTGACCTTAAATCTAAACAAATTACAAAAGGTGGCTTGACACCAACACATCTTCACACAATAAAAAAACATGTTTGGGCTCATCAATTCTACAATTGAATCTGAACTTCTCTTCGTAAATTACACAAATTCTGTACATTCTTTTAGGTCTCCTTGTATGTGGTTTTATTTTATTTTGTACTAATAACACCACTGAAATATCTCAAGGACATTGCTGTCATTGCCAAAGAAACATCCCAAGGGTTGTATTAACCACCACAAAACATCTCACATTAATACAACTACATAACCTATTGAAAGAATTGCTGCAATACACACACACACACATTGTGTTTGGTGATTTAGTGATCTTGCTCTTTGATTCAGTGATTCAGTGATCTTGTTCAGTGATTCAGTGATCTTGTTCAGTAATTTCTTGAAGAATGGAGTTGGTGTTACCTTGGACTGAGCCCCGTTCTGTTCATCACCCTTGGTCTGTTCTCAGAAGTTCTTCGTCTTCTTCCTGTATATTCCTCATTGGAAGCAGATGACACCATGGAAGCTACTGTGTGGCCTCTAGGACGTCCCACCGAATGTAGCTCTGTTCGCTGTTGCCTTTTTAAGGCATCCACTCCAACATAAGTCTGTTTCTTGGTATCTGATGTAGCTACATGTATTTGTAACTCCTCCCCATTGGTTTGTGGAGGTAAAGACACAGGTCTTGGTTTCTTTTGTCCTCCACGCCGTTGAGTCTGGTCTGGAGTATATGGTGAGACATCATCAGGTGGCACTAAAAACTTTGCTGATGAAGTGGCAGCAGCTGTTGATACCACTTCAGTTTGGAGCAAGTCTTTATTCATCAAGTCCACAGCATCTTGGAGTTTTGATTCACCTTCTTGATTTGTGGTTTCTTGGACGTTTACAGTTGGGTGAGCATCACTGTCTTTACATGCACTCCCAAAAGCGCTGTCCTGAAGAAGCAGTCTTTGCTCAAGTATAGACATCTCTTTGTAGGAGCTAGAGATAGGAGCTTGCTTCTGTTGGAAGCTCTTGACTACAGTCCTTGGTGATGTGCTCAACTCATCAGGATCCTCTGTCTCTGCTTCCGCTGATCCTGTTGATGTCAAGGTCTCCATGATATTTGGACATGAGCTAGATCGTGGAAAGATTCTACGGTCGGTTGTAGGATCTTCCACTAACTCAGTGATGTTTTCCAGATCAGTGGTTGCATCTTCAATGACTGTTGCCATGTCGACACTCTGAAACCAAAGGAATTATGGTAAGATTTGAAGGTTTACGTGGTGAAGAGAGAAATAAGAGTATGTTTACAGTTGCACCATGTAACTGATCTCTCTGAGACTTTGTGAGGTTCTGATAATGGGAAAGCACAAAACTGGCAACGGATCAGCAGTGTTTGTGTAAGTTTGGTATATAATTTATTCATAACAATGAAAGCTGTTGACATTCATTCAGTGAACTACACAATCAAAATGAGCCAACACTGCCCTGCCAAATGTTAGCAGCCAATGCTTACTGGGCCCATCACCACCCTGACTAAACAGTGAAGAGATGGATGGATTGTTTGTTGGTTGGTTTCCTGACCTGGTCTTCAGTATCTGTGTGTGCTGCAGTGTATCCTGGGAAGTAGGATATTCCATGGTGCACTTGAGGAGATTGACCTAGCTTGGGCTTGGAAAACTTGAAATCCTCATCACCATCTGAGAACAAAATGGGTCATGAAATGAATGAAACAAAGACAGATTTTGTCATTGCTGTCAATCATTTAAGCTTAACAATAAACTGAGATTTGATGTCAAAACACTGTTAATGGCTCAAACAATATACATAGTTAAACTTCGCAATTGATTATGCAGATTTAGAGAGACCAATCCTGGCTGATGATCAGGGTAGACATGGACAAAAATATCTAACTGAAATGAGATGAGATGATTAACAATGAAATGGAAGGAAACTATGAACACATAGGATGGTAAAATAAAAAAGCAATGAAATGGAGAGGTTCCACTTTCTCTCTCTGTGGGTTAAATGCTCTAAGCAATAAATGTATTTCTTATCCTTTGGTACTTGGGTAAGACATGAAGAATAAGGCCAGTAAGGACTGATTAGAAAAAGAATGTTGCAACCTGATGCTACTACAGCAGTTGTGCACAAAGTCTATGGAGGATCAAGACAATTTCTAAGCGTTTCCTAACAAAATTGGAAATGTTTCTCATTGCCAGATTCAATGTCTTATCATTTTTGCAATTACTGACATTCATTGAGATGATATATGAAGAAAAAAGCAGCGTCAGGTACGGTCAGCGTCTTTCCCTTGATTATTTGTTTTTCAAAGTTGAGATTTTGATTGTCACTATACAGCTCAATTCACCACTGTATCATGCAAACTTGGAAAAAGAGGTTTAGTGTCAATGATGCTCCACGAGCCTCCGTCATCTGTGATGGAGGAGATACAAATAAGATATCAATGAAAATCTAATGAACTTCCCTCTAAAAAGATGGGCCACTTTGACATATTTGAAGTTGCTAACCTTTACATATTAGCCAATTATTTTTTGGATTAACCTTCTTTTTAAGTTACATACTAATTTGCCAACCATCCCTTACGATTTTGAATAATAGAGCTAAGGCTATTTATTTATTTCTTTATTAATTATCCACATCCAACAGCAGAAAAAACCGCCAATTACAGGATTGGGTTAAAAATATAAAAACAAATATACTCAAAAAGAATCATTATAAAAAATATATATGTTGATAATATAAAAACAAATTAAAAACTAAAAGGAAAATATAGAAATGTCCATTGTCAGCTTATTGCCATGTATATGTACCTGTAATGAGTGAATACTAAGACAATGGCTGAAGACGTGACATTTGGATGTGGCCTACATGTATGTTGCTCTGCAAACATGATCTTATATTTTGGCCATTTTGCGAAAGTGAAAAATGAGCATGTGGTTGCCCGTGCAAGGTGCTCCTCTAGCCATGAAAATAAGCACATTACTATGGGGTCACTTCAGCACATTGTAAATGTACCACTACATAGCCATGTTCAAGTATAATTCTGAGTTTTGTGCCCAAGAACAGATCAAATAAACGCCGCAAAAACGAAAGTCCACGCTCATTGGAGGGGTCGTAATTTTGAATCTGATCGTCTTATGATGATGTCATTTATATAGACCCATGGGGAATTTGTTACCTACATTTTAATACCCATTTTCTACCAAAGACTGTTAATCATCAAAGACTGATGACGGTTTATGAAAAATGATGTACATGTAGTTGTTAAAGTTGCAAAGTTAAATGATTACATGAGTGGAAATTGTTGTGTGACAATGTTACACTGCCCCACAGTGCTTGTATGCATGGGAGCAAGCAGGCTACATGTATTTGAATGAATCATGCTTTGTCTGAGCACTGTGCAATCAGTAGGGGTAAATTACGGGCATGTGTGTTTGGTTACGCTTAGCAATTTCTGCTCGCGCAATTTTTTAAATTTGCAACTTTTTTGCAGTATTTACTATTATATTTATGAACTGCTTAATAGAGGCAAATGCTAACCATCAGAAAAACTGCTGCCATGGTAGATAAACGAAGGATCAACTACTATGGCAGGCCCCGAACCAAATGGCAACGGTACCATTACTGGAGGGAAGAACTGAGTTTCATCACCAACATCATTAATGCCAGCTGACTCTCCGCTAACATGAAGGTCAGGGGTCGTAGGGGAAAGGTTGTTAGCTGAGACAATCATTAGACATGCAAAAAGGAAAAAAATCAACTACCGGTACATATGTAAACAAAGTGAAAACAGCTAGCAAAGCAACATCAACATGCATTAAATCGGTGATCAGCAAACCTAACAAAGCACGGGACCAGTCAGATACATGTCGACTGTACACACAATCAGTATTTCTCTTACCCCACTGACATATTTCTTGTTCACTTCATGTACTGCTCTTCGTGTAAACATTCATGCTCATGCCTTCTTTAAAATATTTCCAAATGTTTCCAGCGTTTGTCTCTTTTCCTTCAACCCACATCATAAACAATTTTTCAAAACATTCTCATCAAAGCAGAGATGAGTTAATAAAATGGGTTGGCAACTGAAAACAAATACTATTTGAAAAATGTACATTGTATATGGAAACTATTTGAAAAGCTTTTATGGTTAAAATGTGATTCAATTGGACTTCAGGGGACAATATGTCCGATGTTACAAATTGTGCCATTTAGTAAAACTAACCACCCAAATATTGCATAACATTTTGACAGATAATTTCTCACAAAATTGTGTTAGTATGAACAACTCACCAAAGTCAAAACAACACACACAACACCATTAAACAAATGGGAAATTTGTGGTAACACCATGTGAATGATATCTCTTAGAGAGTTGTGTGGTTCTGAGAAGAACCAGTTGGTTTAACTCGAAGTTTTGAACAGCATGCCATGTTCATCATGAGGTGTCTCCTGATGATGAATGGAGCATACTGTTCAAAATGCTGAGGTACCGCATATCCACCATGCAATTCCACTAAGTCTCATTTAATGCCATTAAATAAAGAATAAGAGCTTAGCATGACAAAATGAAACAACACCACCACCAAATAGTGCTTAATTACCCCAAACATTTATCATATTATACAGGCGCAAATACTATCTGTTCAAGAGAACTCTCTGGATTGAATGTATTTGTTTATTTTATTTGCTGTTTTGTTCAGACAAACGTTTGATAAAAGGTTTCCTTTCCATGAATAATAAATGATAATGAAAACATACAGCGCGAGTATCCACCACATTAGACGCTCATGGCACATTCCACAACAATAAGCAATTAAAATTGTATCAAACTGAAGAAAAAAAACGTGAGATGAACACATTTGTCTTAAAGAGATGATTTGAATGACTGCAATAAAGAACACTGTTGTAGTTCAAAGGGAAGATTGTTCTAGAGTTTGAGAGCGGCGTCTGAGAATGAAAGATCCCCCGTGAGTGTTGGAAGTGTTTATTATCTTGAACGAATTTTAAGTCAAGAAAAATATTAGCATTTAACTATTTTGAGTGAGTGTATTCAAAACTTTCAGACATAAGTCTTACCTTGTTGCTTCGCAACTGATTGGTTGCTATGCTCCACATCCTTCTCCTGTGATCCCATCTTGCCATCTCCCTCAAGTATCATCTCTTCTGTATCATCTTTATCATCATCATCATCCTCAAACTCAATGGCATCGATCTCTAAATCCAGCTCTCGATTACGCAGCAAGAGTGAAGAGATATCTGCCAATGGGAAGTCCTGCGTAGTTGGGAGAAGGGCGCCCCCATTCTCAATCCTCATAATCCATGATGTGTTGCCAGTTGGACGTCTCACGTACACCTTCAATTCAAAAGCATCAATATCAAAATTTATTTCCCAAAAACTGTCCTTAAGCCCAGTTCATACTTCACGCGAAAGCTAGTGCAAAGCGAAGTTCATGTCGTCAACAATGGTGGACGCGCTTCGAATGTATTGTTGACGTCACGAATTTCGCTTCGCTTTCGCTTTCGCGTGAAGTATGAACCAGGCTTTAATCTATGTTATGTATTTGTCCATACACTCCGAACACACACAGACAGTACCGTCAATTCTAACACCTTCACTTGCATTTAAAAGAGAATTGTAATGTAAACAGGCCCTTCACTCAATAAAGAGAAGAATAGAAAATCTCCTGCAAACTGCTCAAATTACCGACTGATGAGACCTCAAGTCAAAATACTACGGTCGGATGTTTTAATTCTCTAATGCAAAATGAAAAGGGAACAGCTAAGAGGGGTCATTTACTCACCTCAGCCCACCCCTGACACCAACAGTTGCACTGATAGACATTAAGTGAGGATAGTTTGGCAGCTGAAGACTCTGCTCTCTCATGTAATGATGCTTGAACTCGTTCCATAAACTCCTTAGATGTCTCTGCTTGGGGCTTCAATTCACCTACTACTGGAGAACCAGCCCGGCCTGTACTACAAGGACTTGCTGCTCCAGACTTAGACTTGTGGCTATCACCGCTGGTTCTTCCAGACTTGGGAGGCGGTGGACTATTGGCACGAGATCCTCGTGTCTCAGACACAGACTTCTCAGGAGTTGGTGGGGCATTATACTCAAAGGATTTGGATTTGTCAGTGGGAAGTGGGGATGAGGATGGAGAAGTAGTCCCACGACTAAAAGAAAAAGAATATTTAGAAAAACAACATATTTATCAAATATCGTTGATTGATTTTCCAAGGACACATTTTGCTTTCCAACTCAAAGTGAGAGACTGAGCAGAGAGCATTGGCTTACCTTGATGATTTCTCTCCAGACTTGGACCGTTGCCTTCTGAGAAACCCCTTGGACAGAGCCAGCTGCTCCCCAGAAGGCTCATCAACAGATTTGCTGGATTCCCCTGACTTCCAGATGGTAGAGCTCTCTGTGCTGCACTGCTTTGGATCCTCTCCAGTTTCAAGTTTGATGAGCGATTGGCACTTCTCACAAATCCCGTTCTTCTGCATTCTGGAACTTCCACCACTTGTTGTTATGGTGATGATCTTATTGCCAAGCAACCAGGACTGTGATTGGCCACCAGCCAGGAGAAATTCTGCGACAGGGGACCTAAGGAATTGAGCCATATATAAAGAAGTACTAAATATGGAAGAAATATCACTTCAACATATTTTTTTTGGGTTTTTAATTGTTTTTTTTATCATCTTATTCCTTCTCCATGTGACAACTCACTTATTGAACTTTAAAATGTATAAGTATGCCCCAAAGTTCATAAAAGTTAGGAGCCTTACGTTTTCATCTTCGCCCAATCTGTTCAAACTGCTGAATTATCTACCCACCTCTTTGGTACTGTAGTGCAGTTGGAATGTGCATATCTAGCCATCATGTCAAGACATCCCTCAGTGAGTAATGAGTGTAACTCACTCAGTATCTCAGTACTCGCACGCTCAGATTCCTGAGTTTTCTCTTGGGATTTACCACCATCTTTCTTCGACAACCTGAAATTAAGGATGAAGTAGACATTACAATAACCATTCTGTCTTCTTCATAAAGCAATTTCATATAAAGACATTAACTTCCAAACTTTTGTTTGCGTTGTTTTTCATAACCATAATTTCTTGAAAACCTCGATCAAAAATCTCCCCCACCCTTAATCCTAACACACAATGCCTTGATGATTTGATGGTTGACTTACTGGCTAGTTTTCTCAGTCAAGCTGCTGCTTCTACGTAGTTTAACACGTCCCGGACTGTCTAATGACATCTTAGGTGAACTTGCTCTAAGCCCCTACAAACAAGATTAATAAGAAATGTTATTATAATAGACTGAATCAGAATGAATTCAAGAAGACAAATCAAAATTATGGCAAGGCCAAACAAAAAGTACAGCTGTGAACTGATCAATTCAATTTTTCATGAGAAGCTAGTGTGACTTCCTGAAACATCTGTGGTACAAATTTACAAAATCCAGCTTTGAGTCAACTTTGTAAATTCACATTCCAATTCTTTGCATTGTCATGAAAATATGAATTCACCACACTTCTCTCAGCAAGAAGATTGCAGAGTTTCAGTCTGATGTTTATTATGTTTAAATCCAAACAAACATTGCATGATAGAAGTGATTTGTAACTGACTTTAGCCATTTAAGCTCTGTAATTTGGTCAGATTGGAAAGTCATGATTGCAGATTATACAGTGTTTGATACATGTTCAAGTGAAAGCATTTTAGAATCGGACAAATTGTTTAAATGTCACTTCATGCTTACCCTTGTAATACAATTAACAAACTCTCTGCGGAATGCCAAACGGCATTTGATAAACCACATTGCAATGACGTGATGAGCCAGCGACACTACATACAATGAAAACCTGCCAAAAATCACAACAAATGTGTCATCATTATTGAAAACGTGATTACTACGATTAAACAAGGTCAGTTGCAACACAGACGGCTTTTAAAATAAGGCAAAATAAACTACAATTGTTAAACATTTATCAGAATACCAACAAGACAAATGTAACCATATGGTCTAGTATCCTGTCTTAACATCATTCAACAAAGCTGAGTTTCACCTGCACACAATAACACACATGCTTATTTAATGGAATCTAGGTTAGTACAACCAACATTTGTCCACCATTATTTGAAACAAGTGAATTGACAGAAAGACCATCATTTAGAGGGAAGAAACCAAGAGTGTTCTTTAACTTACTTGAAGGGGTTGGTATAGTGTAACGCCACAGCAAAGATGCTCATATACTGGTTCTCTACAAAACTGGTATATAGATGCGGAAACCAAATCAAACCTATCAGCATGGGAAAAAAACGAAGAAAACAAAATCATTGATTCAGTGAAAGCTGTGTTCAAAGTTGGAAGTTACATTGGTAAACCTAAACATAATAACAGCCATTTTTTACAAACTCCAAATGACTCTGCAAGTCATGAAAGTCCAACTGAGAAGGAATCATTGATAAGGGAGGAGGGACTAATAACCGGTCTTCCATCATCCATCTAATAGCTTACTTGATAGGAACTCCAAGACAGGGATGGCCATGTTAGGAGTGGCTGACATCTTAGACATCTCCAGGATGATAGAGGGCAGTATTTTGACCATTGTATTTTGCATTTCCATGACGCACAGCGTTAGCCCATCTACGCATTGTTGGGCACACTTCAGCTTCAGCCCAGCCTCCAGACATTTGATAAGGTCAACCTGAAATCCACAGATCAAAACAAATCATACACAACTGTTAGCAACACAGAAAATATCCCTGTCACCACTTTGATAGGGTATCTTAAATAATATGCAGAATAGTAGCCAGGCTTTGAAAAGGCCATTAGAGGAAGAAATTGAAGGAATATTTCCCCAAATGTCTGCAATATTTTCAGCATGGGAGGAGGTTATAAGAGAAGGGGCTAAAAATTCATGAGAACTCTTTAAAAACCAAGAAATGAAATATTTATAATCAATACATACCCTTACATTTCCAAGGACCTTCAAATTCTAAAGTCAGAGCCTTTGATTTCATACTAATTTCCATTAGCTTTATTGTTTGGGTTTTCCCCAATTACAACTACTTGGAGAAATACTAACAATTGATGTAGCCATTGCTCAGGAGGGCCATTTTGAATACATCCCTAAACTAAAATTAAGAGTTGAACACTAACAAGGCTGCCCTCACCTGTCGTCTGTTCTCAAGTTGAGTGTGGTAAGGCACTAGGGCTGTCAGAACACGATACACTCCAACATAGAAATCAGCTCTAGTGAATGTCTGCGGTGTGTGATGCAGTCGGCGAATGTGACTTTTATCATCAACCTAAGATGGCAATAAAAATATAGAGGTTACATTGTTTGGACATTAATAACTTCAGCACAAATTATATGTCAACAATGGATACATGGGTTATTTTTAAGCAGCCCAGGGGGCATGCATTCATCACTGGTTACCTATTACCCCTTTTCTTATCCAATATCAAGGCAATAAGGGCAAGTGACGGGCACCAACGTTCAGCTCACCCAGTTATACTGTTGATCTGTTTACATTTAGAACTGTATTTTGCCTTCCAACACAAGTGAAGTTTTTCCACCATCACTCAAGAACATTTAGACACTGGGGAAGTGGACAATGCTGAAGGGATGGGCAAATCATTAGGAACTATTTACGTACCATAGTGCAGAGTGTCAAACACAGCAAATCCAAGTTTGCATTGGATGCTAGGACCAGCGTTCTATTCTGCAGGGCTTTAGCCAAACTCTGTGACACCTTGTTCAGTACGTGCCAGTCTGTCTCCTGGTCACATGACAGAGAAGAAAGAGAAATCTCAAGTTGGATCAAATTTGAGATATGTACCAACATTCATTATGATTTGTGTTCTGAGGCAAATAACTTCAGGCAACTACCATATTGTGCACAATGTTACATCCTAGTTGAATCACTTTTCAATAGATTTAGGACCACTCTGTCCCATACATAATGAAAGTCAAACCCTCTACAAAATTCATAGATTTCAGTGTTTCATATTCTTCTGTTAGGCATCTGCAAGGAGAATACTCACAAGAATTGTTTATGTTAATTAGTCTTTGCAATGATTATGTAATTAAATAAAAAATGGCGTTACATATGGGACAAAAACGGGCCCTTTTCTTGGACTATTATCCATTAGTAAGGAAGGTTCAGCACTTACATATTTCAAGCAGGTCGTGATAACCTTGAAAGCATCAGCAAAGGGAATGAAGGTTGTCTTACAGAAACGTTCCACGATGGGAGGAGATGCACAAACTGAAGGTGGAGAGGTCTTACCAGTGATATCCATCTCAAGTCTACATAGAAAGAACACATCAACAACTTATAATCTGTTATTATTGTTACAAAGCACTGAAGTGGAACACATGTTACATGTAACTTTTTGTGTTTCTGGGAAGCTGTAAATGAAGTGGTTTTTGTGATTTTTGTTTTTTTGATTTGGTTTTTCTTTTGGTTTTTCAGATACCAACTTAAAACGATTCTGATTTGAGTCAAGTCTATAGTACTGACCAATTGAGTGTTTTTAATTCAATTTGGGGTGGAAGTAAATAAATAAAGTGAGATCAATGTTGACTTTAAATGAGCGCACTACCTTTACAGCTGTTGGAGGAAGCCAATTAGCAGTGAAATAAATTTGGCATTTTATATGGAAAGTAGATCGAATAATAATAATAATAATTAATTTATATTGCACAGATTCCACATTAGTGTTCAAGTGCGCAGTACATGTATACATACACAATGTCGTAAAAATCTAACTACCCAGATACAATTAAAATTCACGAGTGAAATTAAAATACCGGTACCCAAATAAACAATTAAATACACAAATATCCATTAAAATACACAATTATCCATTAAAATACACAGGTACAATGCAAGCAAAAGAAGAACTTGATGAAGATCTTGAAGAACTTGATGTAAAAACCTGTGTATACATAGTTTCTCTTGGTTTGTTTGGGTAGATAATGCCAAGAAAATGCAGACAAACACTTATAGTCCAAAAGGAATCTTGACACAGGAAAAAGAGAAGGGGTAAGATAGAAAAAATTGAGCTTGTTTATCATAGTGCTTGAAAGACTGTGGGTTATAGGATGGGAAGTAGGAATAAGAATTGGCCTCATTGCCACGGAGGGTGAGATATAATCATGTCTGTCCATATTATTACAATACAATCCTTACTTGTAATCACAGAGAACGTAGGAGCTGTATCTGATGTTTCCATCTTTGTCTGGGAGACCGATGTGATACATGCTGTCTGAACGAAGCATGAGAAGATACTCAAATACCTAGAGATATTAAGAAACAAAGAGAGCTAAGTAAGATTTGAGGCTTTGCATGGTGGAGAACTAATAAATGAAAGGTTTGCGGAAACACCGTGTGCGAATAATTTCTCAACTAGAGAAATAGTCATGCTATTTGTAATAACACAAAAAATGCTTCAAACGATTGTCCAATGATAAACATATGATAAACGATGTCACATTAAATGAAAAATATGTAGCACATGACAAATTCAATTTACATCCAAATTAACTTGGTTGTGAAACAAGGATCCCCCAAATTTTTAAGAATCATTTGCAAATGCAAAAAAAAAACACACACATTAAGAACAAATAAAAGAAACAAGGGGTTCATTTAGATTTCAGATTGAGGAAATATATGCTGTGTATGCTCTGGACAACTGTTTGACCACTTGTACTTTGATTTGTGTAGTCAATATCTACAGCTATTCTAATATATTAACCATTGGATTGACATCAGTCAATAGTCTTACAGGAGTGACTAATTGACAAACGAACACATTGAGGTCTTACCATGAGTCTGATTGTCCGAGCTGTGACTGAGTTGAATGTATGCTGGTACTGTGCCTGCATATGCTTCACTAACAGCTCAAAAGCAAGAACACAATGATTGGATGGTAGACGATACAACTTAGACTGGAATCAAGCGAAAAGAGAAAACATGTTCATCAGACTACCGGCCCTTGTGTGATGGACTAAAATGAGGAAATAGTTACAAATTAAACTTATTTCCAAAAATGCGAAGAAGTTGAGAATTAAGGGTGTCTGTATGTTTCACCAATCTAAGGCAAATAGTCAACACGGGCCAAGTTCCTGCAAGGACTATAGTTGACCAATGGTTAACTATCATCTGCCCGAACTCTGTCTAGTCGACGATGGTTGACTACGCTAGTCCACTATTTGGAACTAGACTACTGGGGTTGGTTGCTTCGCTGGTAACCAATAGCCGCGCGCATTCATAACGCTAGCAGAGAGCCAGGATCCACAAGTTTGCAATGACATTTTGACCAGCGTTTGACTAGAGACGTTCGCACGTTGCTACCAGTGCGCAGGCGTAAGGTACGTCACAAATCAACCACTAGTCGACTAATGGTCCTTGCCCGAACTTGGCCACGTATTGGGAAAATTTGTCTAATTCCATTCAACTGACCTACCTCCGTTTGCGGCTTAGCCACGCCTCTTAGACAACCCTATGGAAGTTTGTATGTTAAGATTTGTTTGTCTCAGATTTTGCGCATTCTGTGTCCATTTGTATATCATGAATTGGACAATATTTCACAAGCTGCATTTGTGCGATTCTCCCGCGATAGATTAATTCTCATATTCATCCTTCATATCAGTCCAAATCCCTCAATTTTTAACAGTATATATTTTGGAGAAATCGGGTAATGTCACACAGTAACAGCTTGAAAATGTTTGGTTTGAATTTCAACTGACCCTGAAGAGCTCCATGAGACTGAGCACAGCTGCTTTGATATCTACAAGATCTTCATCTGTCTCAGCGACTCTCTGATGCGGGACAAGATTCTTGGATGTATCAGTTGGCTCTAAGGTGATACCAAGACTTGCTTCGGTGTGCATGGGTCTCATGACAACCTAAGGTACAATTGTTGAGAAGTATAAAAATCACTCAGGATATTCATGATTCTTGTGAGATGATTATGTTGATGATGGTGATTGTGATGATGAAGGTGATAATACTGTGGTGACTGGCATTCAACAATGCCCTGAAAATTGATGTTCCGGATTTAAAGAACTACAAACCACGTTGTCTAAGGACCACACACTGCTATCATAGTCATGATGCCAATGCTCCGAACGAAAAAAACAAACAATGTTATTCTGTCATTTAATATTCTTAAGGAGTAGTTTGAAAGATGCAAAGAAATGGGCAAGACAGTTTTTGCAGAGAGGGCTATTATGGATTCTTCAGTCTGTTGCCAATTTCAGCTCTTATAGTATTTCTTTGGCCCGCCATGTATACGATTGTGATATTGAAGGTAATGATAAAAATGACAATGGTGACAAGGACAGACATGGCAATGACAACGATGTATAAAAGACGACAATGTAATGGAATTGACAACGATGATGACAGATATAACTTCAATGACAAGGTTGATGACCCTTGGGACACTGGTACCACCCACCTTCTGTATAATGTCCAGTATGTCCACACAGCGATGAGTTTGGCAAACTTGAGCCACGTCCATCAAAAGATGAACAGCAGCTTGACGGACGACAGGGTCGGGATCCTCAGAGATGTGGCCAAGCTGAGGCAAGACAACCATCTCAATCAAGTCATCCTGAAAACAAATACAAGCCAGTTACAACAATTCATGCTAAACGTACAAAAGATAATCAGACAACTTGTCAACACAGCATTGAAGCCACTTATTAGTAATTCAGGTAAGGAAAAAAAAACTTCAGTAATTGCTGGTCATGAACAAAATCATTCAGTACTGCCCCATGTCCTCTGAATATGTGCTCATAACAAGGGGCAGTCAAACAAAGAGTTGAGTAGAGTTGTTCCTTGACCCTCTCCTGCACCAAGGTTTATTTCCAGGCTCTCTGGTTTTCCTCCCTCTACCCACATGACTTTCAATTTCTGGTTTTGCTTCAAGATCAGACATGGGATGTATGGCACAGGCTAGGGTGCCTTTACATGCCTTTGCCCTGACCACGTTGTAGCTGCATCCCTAGCAATTCAGGTTCAGCTGCGAGTAAGGATGATTAGCCCCCAAATTATTATCATTATTAAACCAGTCAATGGAGGTTAATATTGTTGAGCCTTTCTTGTACCTCATACAGGTGACTTGTGGAGCTGAGAACTGATGACAAGACGCGCAGTGCTGCTTCCCTGATTGCTGTACGGTCTTCAGTTCTGAAATAACTATCCATCAATCCTTGAAGGTTCTGAATCCAATCAACTTTGGTAGGATGGATGGACTGGGCTCGGAATGACACCAATGTCAGGACGGAACTCTCCTGACAAAAACATTGCAAGGTCAGATTTAAACATCACAATAAATTCTGTCTGTAAAAATAAACTTAATAGAGTGAGAAAAAAAATTGGGGGGGGGGGAGATGTATATCACATCTTTTCATGGGTATCAAAATATTTTTCATGAAAGAAATCGGAAAACGACTTGAATTGATTCTGTGTAGGAATTGTTGAGGGCAGAGTTTGGCCAACTCATGAGAACCAAGCAGCACATCAAATGCCTGCAAAGCTCAATTGTGTAAATGTCCAAAAGTGCATCAAATGTACACAACTCATAGCATCTTTATGAGAGAAAAACAGTAATGCAAGTAGCAAAGTGGTAGACAGAGTGAGTACAGACAGGCAGAACTGATTACATATCATGGCTTACCGGTCTAATGTTAGCAAACTCCTCAACAATACCAAACAGCCTGGAAGCAGAACCACTGAATGATTTACTCTCATGAAGCAGCTCGGTTGTCGTCAACAGATCGTGAAGATCATCAGGCAAAAGCTCATGGGTAGAATAGATCTTATTTAAAAGAAACAACACATCTATCTTCAACATCAGAGGTATCTTTTAATAGAAAACAGCCTGCCATTTTTATGCAGAACTTTTAAAACCTTTTTGGCATTAGGATTAGGGCTCCCTCTCACGAAAAATAAAACATAACCAGTTACATTGCCAGTATTTTTACTGATATTAAGTTGAGCCAAATGTAAATTGAGCTGAAATGTACTAATTTTGGTTGAATATGGGCTCTAAATTCGAGGTCTGATGGGATCACTTATAATATCTCAGACTGCTTTATTTATTTTGAGGAAAACACAGGCAAATCCAAGTTACCTGTATGTTTCTGAAGAGGTCCTCAATAATGTCCAGCACAATGTCCCAAGTGACAGGCTGCATGTCCTTGCCATATTTCTTGACCAATCGCTGAAGGGAAAGAGTCACTTCATATGCTACTGTGGGATGCTTGCAACGTAAAGCCTTCAAGAAAAAAAGTGGTCAAATCCAATTTTTAGATCCATAGTGGCTATTCAGAATAACCAATGGTTTATATTTTGAATATGTTTTGACCCACCAACCCACCCCAAAATGCTGAATGACTATTCAATGTAATCTATACACTCAAGAACAACAGCCTCAAATGAAACAGATATTTGGGATCAATGCTCTCCCAGCTCAGGAGTTTTCAATGGACTATCCGGGCTTCCAGCATGCAACTTTTTAGCTGAAACAGAAGTAATTGCCAAGCACTCCAAACTTTGTACAATGTTTTTGCAGAGTCTGAAAGTGTTGTAGATCCAGAGGGGATCTAGCACATAACATGCTGCAGAACATGCTGCACTAATAATCTCCAATTCAAGCCTGTTTCACCATTGAGTGAATGCCTTTATGTTCTGGACTTTGTTGAGCTGCCGTATCGGCCTACGTGCGTTGTACAAAAAAAAACGATCATTACCAATTTGTATTAAAATCTACCTTAATGTTTATGCTAAACCCAACCTCTTCCCAAGATGCTGAAAGGGTCACTCACACGTTCCCCCCACCAATCTATCGTTTGAAGTAGGTGGACAATCGAGACACGGAGGTCGACTATGGAAACAAGGTTCACCAATGAAAACTAAACAGCACAAACATGACAGACATGACAGACAATCTTGAAGAGGCCGCCGCCTTCTTCTTTCTTTTTTTTCTATTACTTTAATTGAAAATTGAATTTTGATTTTCAGTTATTTCTTTTTACCCACCTACCCACTATTTCAAAGATGAAACAAATGAAGATTGATTATTCCGAATGGCCCCTTAGGGACTGGTGATAAACTGCCCCTCTTAATAGAATGCCTCACCCCTCCCCTGCTTGTCAATACCTTACCTTCTCCCCTGCTAGTCAATACCTTACCCCCTCCCCTGCTAGTCAATGCCTCACCCCTCCCCTGCTAGTCAATGCCTCAACCCCTTCCCTGCTAGTCAATGCCTCACCCCTCCCCTGCTAGTCAATACCTTACCCCCTCCCCTGCTAGTCAATACTTTACCCCCTCCCCTGCTAGTCAATACCTTACTCCCTCCCCTGCTAGTCAATACCTCACCCCTCCCCTGCTAGTCAATACCTCATCCCTCCCATGCTAGTCAATACTTAACCTCCTCCCCTGCTAGTCAATGCCTCACCCCCTCCTCTGCTAGTCAATGCCTCACCCCCTCCCCTGCTAGTCAATGCCTTACCCCCTCCCCTGCTAATCAATGCCTCACCCCTTCCCTGCTAGTCAATGCCTCACCCCTCCCCTGCTAGTCAATACCTCATCCCTCCCATGCTAGTCAATACTTAACCTCCTCCCCTGCTAGTCAATGCCTCACCCCCCCCTGCTAGTCAATGCCTCACCCCTTCCCTGCTAGTCAATGCCTCACCCCTTCCCTGCTAGTCAATGCCTCACCCCCTCCCCTGCTAGTCAATGCCTCACCCCCCCCCCCCCCCCCCCCGCTAGTCAATGCCTCACCCCTTCCCTGCTAGTCAATGCCTCACCCCTCCCCTGCTAGTCAATGCCTCACCCCTTCCCTGCTAGTCAATGCCTCACCCCCCCCCCCCCCGCTAGTCAATGCCTCACCCCTTCCCATGCTAGTCAATACTTAACCTCCTCCCCTGCTAGTCAATGCCTCACCCCCTCCCTGCTAGTCAATGCCTCACCCCTTCCCTGCTAGTCAATACTTAACCTCCTCCCCTGCTAGTCAATGCCTCACCCCTTCCCTGCTAGTCAATGCCTCACCCCCCCCCCCCCCCCGCTAGTCAATGCCTCACCCCTTCCCCCGCTAGTCAATGCCTCACCCCCCCCCCGCTAGTCAATGCCTCACCCCCCCCCTGCTAGTCAATGCCTCACCCCTTCCCATGCTAGTCAATACTTAACCTCCTCCCCTGCTAGTCAATGCCTCACCCCCTCCCTGCTAGTCAATGCCTCACCCCTTCCCTGCTAGTCAATGCATCACCCCCCCCCCCCCCCGCTAGTCAATGCCTCACCCCTTCCCTGCTAGTCAATGCCTCACCCCCCCCCCCCCCCCCCCCGAAAGTCAATGCCTCACCCCCCCCCTGCTAGTCAATGCCTCACCCCTTCCCTGCTAGTCAATGCCTCACCCCCCCCCCCCCCGCTAGTCAATGCCTCACCCCTTCCCTGCTAGTCAATGCCTCATCCCTCCCATGCTAGTCAATACCTTACCCCTCCCATGCTAGTCAATACCTTACCCCCTCCCCTGCTAGTCAATGCCTCACCCCTCCCCTGCTAGCCAATATCTAACCTCCTCCCCTGCTAGTCAATGTGATTGTTACCTTCAGGAATGATGGTAGGACAGAGGTGAAGTTGTGTTTGAGTGACTGCACTCTCATTGATCCCCAACGTGCCATACCAACGTAGAACACTGCTCCTCTGAGTAGAATTACATCGCCTTGGTTCTGCCTGTAGTCAGGAGATGGAAGTCTTAGGTTTGAAATGCAAATGATGACAAGTTAGACTACTCACAGAATGAGCCAAAAACAAGAAATCACACATTACTTCTCAAGAACAGATTATCCAGAATCCATGCCTAGAAAGACAGATTTACAGATAAGACAGACAAGTGATCCGCATATTGCATGTGTTGCAGTTGTGCATTTTAAATAGATGATCTTTGACCTCCACTTTCTGAAGACTTGTGATGAACCCCCACCCAAGGATTACTCCATCTCAAGTTGCTTGTAAATCCATCAAATTCTATAGCAGATTTGAACAATAATCTCTAATGACCCATACATGACCTTTGACATAAAAATGTGTGCACAGGAATGGCTCCCAGCATAGATGACATATTTCGAGTTCCGTTTGTGAAAATACATTAAGAACTTAGATGAACAAGCTGTATCTCACCCATTCTCCATGATACTACACATTGTATAGATTGCACTGTGACCTAGATGAGTTCCGAACAGATTTCGCATCAACTGTAAAACAAAAACAAATTTATCAAAATGTCATGTTTTGGTGCGATAGCACTGAGTATCTCTTCATTTTAGCAACTGAAACAATAGCAGAATCTGGCAACCAGAATTAGAAGCTGTTACTGCATTGGTGTCTCGCTCACGCGCATACTGCATGTGTTTTTTAAAGACAAGGCCTGCGTGCATATTGGTATTCTATTGGGTCCCAGGAGCCTGAAGTGCATGCATACTACCTTAGTGCGACTAGCATGAGCCTGGTGCCACTGCACAAAATGGCTGCTGCAGAATAGTCTACAGATAACCTTGATGTGTGCGCCCGAAAAATGTCCTTGTCTTTAATCTCCACGATCCCAATTTAGAATTTCCCTTCTTGAAAAATGTCAATGGTTTTTAAAACTATAGTTGTACAATAAAAGCACACCTTCCAACTGGCCTGAGCAAATTCCTGCACTCCAACCGTCCTACACAGTGCTGTCACAAAGTTGTAGAGTGCATCTGTAGGTAGACAGCTATAACAAACCACAGCTTCCAAGACCTTCAAAGACTGCTCAATGTCATATTCACGACCTGTACGACTACACACTGTACACGTATGCCTTGAGAGACAAAATGAGAATGTCTTGTTATGGCTTCAAACTAAAGTCAAGTACATACAACTGCTGCTGTTGTCATACTGCATCTTAATTCATGGAGCTATCAAGCAGATATTTTTCTTGACAAAAGAAGTATAAGTTAGTTGAAGGCCAGCGAATTACAAAAGTAACACTTTCGCTGGTGACCTGTTTGGTTTTTCAGCAAAGCACGTTTGAGCCCAGCTAAGCACGTTTGAGCTCAGCTAAGCATGTTTGAGCCCAGCTAAGCACGTTTGAGCCCTGCTAAGCATGTTTGAGCCCAGCTAAGCATGTTTGAGCCCAGCTAAGCATGTTTGAGCCCAGCTAAGCATGTTTGAGCCTGGCTAATTCTGGGGCTTTGCAGCTCAACTAGAGTCTTCTAAAAGAGAATCCAATTGAGACATACCTTACAAGTCCAGACACAATGTGGTCATCAAGGTAACAGGAGTTGAACTTGAAGACATTGACAAGAAGACCTAAAAACTCAGCAGTCCTGGTGGGTAAGAATATAATAGTTCCGTTTGTTTGCATAAAAAAAATGCTTCAACAGACCGTGGATTATTTTTTGGGGGTGGGGGTGGGGGGAGGGGGTGTTAGTCTATGGAATATCCCCTTGCAGGGCAAGGGTCTATGATATGCGAGCAGATTCAATGATTAATTATGTAAAACAAGACAGTGTCTTGACCATGAGATTCTGACAATTCAGTGGGCCCCTTCTTTCTCGGGTCTTCAGAAACCCGTTGTTTTACAGAAACATGGCATTCAAGTTTACCAATCAACAGCTTAGTCCATATTTCTGATCGAAATGATGTCACAGTTTCTAAAGTCTGATTACGACTGGCTAGCGCACGAGGTTGCATAAAATTTGCATGTTATGATATATCAAACTTGCAACCGTGGCTCTGCACACGTGAATGTCTGATCCTCAGACAAGAGGGTGGGGGGGGGGGGGTGTTGATTTACTAGCTCCGTAAATTCGGTCAGGTTTCCAATTTATTACTCAAGCATTACTTCCCAAGTTACAGAGACACAAATGCATCACATTGTGTAGGACTTACATGCCATAACTGATAACATCAGGCATCCAGGCCAATAGGAATGGTCCCATGTCCTCCTCAAAGTGAAGCAGGTTTTTACCATTGGCGCTGAGTGACTTCAAGACATCCAATCTAAATTGGTGATCACAAACACTGATTCAGGAAACCCTGTAAATTCATTCAATACAATGTTTGCCCTACCCAAATCCCCGTACACATACATGTATCATCATCCTACACTGTCCCTCTATCTTCACTCAATAAAGGTGTGAGCTGTACTCTTGTTGTAGTAAGTGGTACCTTTGAGGCAGATCTTCAAAGATTGAGTGCTTCTTGATAACCTCGAAGAATACTGCCCTCATGAGCTCAAGCCTTTCATTCTATAAATTTGAGACAAGAAAGTAACAAAAGAAAGAAGTATTTACTCATTTTATTTGTTTATTACTATTTATTATAATTATTTATCTATTTCTGGTAATGAACCAAAGATTCCTCATACATGTATGCACTCCAGGCACTGTAGCTTGCATACCTGAAGAACCATGTAGAGAGGAGACAGTGAGAAGAAATTAGAGTTTTAGAGGTGGGAGGAAAACACCAGATGAATATTCAGGGGAGAACCCACCGAACCAGGTAGGGACTGAAAACCCAATCCACATGTGGACCATGACAGGATTCGAACCCCGTCACAGCGATGGAAGGCGAGGAAAGGTACTGCTACGCCAACCTGACTCCCAAATGAGATCATTTGTTTTTAAACTGACGGAAAGACTAACGTAGTTGATGCCTTTAATCCCATTTAGGATTAAAAGAAAATGCAAATATGCACTCTGTCATAAATCAATGCTACTTCAGTGTTATTTGATTTTTGTTGGCACAAGGCAAGGAAAATATTGATTTTGTGCTCACCTGACCAACAATGATACATTTCATAAATGTCAACATGAGGTGTCTGTGTTCCATTGGAACCTGAGGCTCCAGGAAATCTGCTGTTGCTGCCCACAGAGCTTCAATCCCATTCTGATAATGGAAAAAACACATAAATTAATTTAAATGGCCACAATATTCAATACAGGATTTAAAAAAACCACAAATTTGCATTTATCTTACCGTTCAAATGTACAAATTGGTTAATCTGGATCACCAAACTTGGTGTATGACGTCATAGAAAATTCTGGACAGAATGTCTATGTTAAACTGGCCTTCCATACAGTAAGGTATGACAAGCAAAAAAAAACACAATTTTGGAAAGTCAATTCAATAACATTGATTTTGAACTGTGCTGTTTAATTAAAGGGTCCAAAAAAAGAATGGTTTCGAAAACTCAGAGACAACTCACATCTTCCAGTCTTTTGGTCGTCACCAATTCACATAGATCTCTTACTGCTTTGACCCTTTGACTGAACGGACTCTCCCTGTGAATCTCCTAAAAAATAAAATAAAAAAAGCCCACCACAGCAATGTCAAAACTGATGTCGCAAATTTTCAAATCCATGAAAATAAAACATCAAACTTCTTTTGGGTCAATTCTGGTTCGTTTAGAACACAAAAGATGAAAGACACACCTTGAGTAGAGCTGGAGTAATGAGGAACTCCTCAAATCTGGACTCGGTTGCTACATTGGGAATGTTAGCACTTTCCTTCCTGCGGAAGATGCTGGTAATCCTCTGCTTGAAGCTTTCTTTGGAAGCTGGCCGAGCCATTGTGAAGTTTAACACACAGGCTCACAAAAGACTGAACAACAAATTAAGGATACACAAATTATGCACAGCAATGAATTAAAAAATTGTGACTCGAGTCGGACTCGAGTTGAGTAATTGACTTGAGTCATTACAACTCTGCCTAGACCAGCCAACTTGTCCCATTATGCCAGGGTTTGTTTGAAAGGATTGAAGCTTTTTAAACAAATATGTATAATTTTTTGTTCAAATTTGTTGTTCAGATTTGTTCATTGTTTGTTCAAATTTGCTGTTCTCATCAAATCAAATTTACAACCATTTTTGCAGAATTCTGCCCGAAATCTGCCAAAAAAAAATCCATTCTTTCAAATTTTCTGTCAAACTCGTTTTTTTTTACAAAATTCTGACAAAGTTAGCCGAAAATGGGCTAAAACGGTCACCTTGGTACACATGCACCATTACATGTACATGTATACACACATATTGCACATCATGATTCAATCCGCGGGATACGGTGTGGTATGATACGTCCGGGAATTCGACTATGAATATGCATGTATTTGGGGTAATTATGCAACATATAATGCGCGCTACATACATCAGGCAACAGATGTGCGCGCATTACACAACCAATAGCAAGTACCCTAGACGTTGTTCTGACAGGTTCGTGGGTGACATTGGTTGGTCGTGATAGCGCCCTCTCGCGGTGGCCGTTTATAGCACGGTGGCCGGTTATCGGCGTAGCAAACAAGATCAACGTCTAGCCCCTAGACTAAGCATTCATTCTATGGTCCCCGTATCCTGAGTGCGATTCCATTACGGCGCGATGCATCGATAATGATAATGAGTAGACTGGATCACGTTTGTAAATACATGTTCATTTCGAACGATAATAGGGAGTCGGGAACTAGGGCAGATTTTATGGACGGAAACCGGTTCAAGCTACATGTACTTCCCGACTCCCTTTCATCGTTCAAAATGCATTTGTGTTTACTAACGTGATCCAGCATGTCCAGTCTGCTCATTATCATAATTGATGCATCGCGCCTGCTCGGTTGCATCGCATGCTCTCGGTAACGGAATTGCACTCGGGATACGGGGACCATCGAATGAACGCTGGGCATGAGGACCACATCGTAATTCAAACACAAGTCGGAAATTTAACGTGTTCACGGTCGCGAGGGGAGCTCTCGGAATTGAACATGAAATTTCACTTTTCATCCGGATCGTAAGTAAACTTCAGTACAACCATCTTAATTATCGATGTCCACTTGGACCTCAGGTGGCGTATCTAGTAATTTGGAGGCCGTTTTGCGGGTAAAATCTGATGTTTTTGTTGGGCAATGTTGGGTTTTTGGGTCAATGACAGAATTGTGTTGTTCGGCATATAACCATTAGCTTGGACCCCACTATCGCCAAACCATGTCCGAATGTTAAAAAGGCGATAAGTTGAGTCCAAGTTACTCGGACTAGTAATTTGTCATGTTTGTAGGCCATTTTAAGGGTGAAATCTGATGTTTTTGTTGGGCAATGTTGGGTTTTTGGGTCAATGACAGAATCGTGTTGCTCAGCATATATGGATTTGAGCACAACTATAGAATACAGGGCCACTCCACTCTACATCCGCACCTCCATATGAATGCGTGGAGCCGTGGAGCCGCAGTCGCCCTACCTCTGAGAATTGCGCCCTCTACCGGCGCGTGACTCTGCGACTCCAAGGCTCCGTGCTCCATGGCTCCAAGGCTTCGCGTCTCCCCTGTAGTCCTAGGATCATTCATATTGATATCCTACCGCTGAGATTTGCGCCCTCTACCGGCACGCGACTCCGCAACTCCGCGCCTCCAAGGCTCCAAGCCTCCATTAATATGGATATCGATGCTTCGTTCTCAAACAAAATGTAGTCCTAGGATCATTCATATGGATATCCCACCGCCGAGAATTGCACCCTCTACTGGCGCACGACTCAGCGACTCCGCGCCTCCCCAGCTCCGCGGCTCCGAGCCTCCATTAATATTGATATCGATGCTTCGTTCTCAAAAAAATGTAGTCCTTGGATCATTCATATGGATATCCCACCGCCGAGAATTGCGCCCTCTACCGGCGCGCGACTCCGCGCCTCCAAGGCTTCTTGGCTCCGAGCCTCCAGACAGTGCCCCGTCACAAGCATGCCCTATCTTCCTTGAGAAAACAAGTGCATTCGCTGTACTAAGCACTTTTTGCGCGTCTGCATATTATTGTACTTTATGCCCACTGACCCCAGTCTCGATCCAAGGCTCCAAGTACATAAAAAAAACCTTGCTTTCACGTGGCCCTGCATTTTATAGTTACTCCCGGATTTGCTTGGACCCATCACCAGACCATGTCCGAATGCTAAAACTAGTAAAAAGGCAATAGGCTAAGTTGGGTCCAAGTAGTTACTCGGACTACATTTTTGCAGTGACTGACCTTCATTGAGATGATATGTGAAGAAAAAAAGCAGCGTCAGGTTGCAACATTCGGTAATCCTAGCTGGAGTTACCCAACCCTAAATTTTATCATTATATGTTGTCATTTAGGGCTGGAGGACACTTTTCACGTAAACCAGCAGCGTTGGCAGGTCCCAAAAAAAATTGCGAAAAATGTTCAATTTTGTCCCCGTTACACACTAATTGCAACTGCAACTCACCCCAAATGGAATAACCATTACACAGGTCCTTGAAGTAAAAAACGATCCACGATGAAGATTCAGCCTACAATTGCAGTGAAAAAAGGAGGAATAACCTCTAAGGCCAAAAAAAAAAGTCTCCGGTTTCTGGTATGCGCGCGCGTCGCCGTAGCCATGCGCGTCGGCAAAATGAAAAAGTTTTTTTTTCAATGAAAGATGATGTCTCAAAACCGCCAAACTCACTGGTTTGACTGGAATCCTGCTTCTGCACAATTTTAACGTGTTTTTAGATGGGGTTATGATCGAGAATAAGCTTTATGTGGCCTCTCTGGACTCCCATATATTTGCACTAAGTTTAGTCGGGCACCATTTGCAATCATCAGCCGACATTTGAAGCAAAAAAGTCAGGTAAAAAAACAAAAAAAGCCGCGTCGCCGCACCACTTTTTGGACAAGCTCCATACCAGAAACCGGAGACTTATTTTTTTTGGCCTAACCTGACAACCTTGCAGGCATGGCGAGGACTGCAATTGGTTTGTGCACAAAAGAAAAATTGTGTACAATGAATGGCGGTCGATTACCATGCACAGCGCGCTGGTACTAGTCGTTTTTGCCGGCTGCGCTGGCTGTTGGCACATGACGTCACGCGGAAGCGTAACACCCGATGACTGTTTCTTGGAACTAATATGAAGTTTACCACTCGCATCACAGCGGCGGTACTGGAACGGCAACCGATAGTGCATGAAACAGTCATCGGGTGTTACCCTCTATTAAGAGGGTGAGTGTATTTTTAAAGCATAAATGAACTGGGTCTGAAGTCGCAATGTGGAAATCACTTTCAAAATTTCGCCGACTCAGGTTCCAAGATGGCGGCTGTGTGGCCTATGTTTACGGAGGCAGTCCAGTAAACTGGCCACATTTATGGGTCTAGGGTAACTCCAGCTATCTCTTTACCGTTTTTTGGGGGGTCTTTTTGTCCTCGTGTGGGTATGTGCACTATGCTACTGTGACGCCGTCACCAAAGTATGGCAAATCGGTGGAGCGTTTGTATGGAGGGGTACCAGTAATTCAACGCTCCACTCAGTATAGCCCCATAAATGTGGCCTATTTACTGGACTGCCTCCGTAAACATAGGCCACACAGCCACATGTACAAAAACTTGTCGACTTTGCCAAATTTTGATTTTCACATTTAGGCTTACTTTGTAGGTTTTTTTTGTTTTAGAAGCATTCTCACCCTCTATATAGGTAGCTGGAGTTACCCAGCCCTGAGTTTTATCATTGAGTTGTCATCTAGGGCTGGAGCGAGTTTTTCTCGAAAACGATAGTATAGGCAAAAAAATTTGGAAAATGTTCAATTTTGTCCCCGTTACACACTAATTGCAACTGCAACTCACCCCAAACTTGCCTGGAATAACCATTACACAGGTCCTTGAAGTAAAAAACGATCCACGATGAAGATTCAGCCTACAATTGCAGTGAAAACAGGAGGAATAACCGCTAACCTGACAACCTTTCAGGCATGGCCAGGACCGCAATTGGTTTGTGCACAAAAAAAAAATGTGTACAATGAATGGCGGTCGATTAATAGGCACAGAGAGCGATCGCTGTCAACTACTCGGTTTGCTGGCTGCGCTGGCTGTTGGCGCATGACGTCACGCGGAAGCGTAACGCCCGATGACTGTTTCATGCACTATTGGTTGCGGTTCCAGTACCAAAGCTGTGATGCGAGTGGTAAACCTCATATTAGTGCATGAAACAGTCAACGGGTGTTACGCTTCCGCGTGACGTCATGCGCCAACAGCCAGCGCAGCCAGTAAAAACGAGTAGTTGACAGCGATCGCTCTCTGTGCCTATTAATCGACTGCCATTCATTGTACACAATTTTTTTTTGTGCACAAACCAATTGCGGTCCTGGCCATGCCTGAAAGGTTGTCAGGTTAGCGGTTATTCCTCCTGTTTTCACTGCAATTGTAGGCTGAATCTTCATCGTGGATCGTTTTTTACTTCAAGGACCTGTGTAATGGTTATTCCATTTGGGGTGAGTTGCAGTTGCAATTAGTGTGTTACGGGGACAAAATTGAACATTTTCCAAAACTTTTTGCCTATACTATCGTTTTCGAGAAAAACTCGCTCCAGCCCTAGATGACAACCCAATGATAAAACTCAGGGCTGGGTAACTCCAGCTACTAGTATATAGGCTAATCAGAAAGTGCTGCCTTTTTCAGATGTTTAATTTTTGTGAAATTTCATGTTGAAATTTTGATACGCAAACGTGTGCAAATGTATCTGGAAATTTCACGAAAAATGGACATCTGAAAAAGGCAGCACTTTCTGATTAGCCTATATAGAGGGTGAGAATGCTTCTAAGTTCTAAAGCAAAAAAACCCTACAAAGTAAGTCTAAATGTGAAAATCAAAATTTGGCAAAGTCGACACGTTTTTGTACATGTGGATGTGTGGCCTATGTTAACGGAGGCAGTCCAGTAAATAGGCCACATTTATGGGGCTACACTCAGTAGAGCTAAGGCCTATGTCAATTTTGACTTTGACTTTTTTGAGTGTCATTTAGTCAACTTTTTTTGGTGAGTCTTTCCCTTCCTATATAGGATCGGGGTACTAAAAAAAGTAAGGATTACCCAACATTCTATCCCTCCTTTTAGTAAAATTTGAAATAGTTCGGAAGTAACTCACCTTAGCTTGTGCAAGGTACATGTAGGCCTCAACGAAACTTTGACTTCATGATGCAGTTCATGGAGGCCGCCATTTTGGTTTTGACTTCCCCAACGTTTAGATCGATAGAGGGCGCTTGAGACAAACTTTGCAAAATCCCAGCCTCGACTCCAGGGGTGCGTGCTCGTTCCTTACACTAACCCCTGGCTGTGATGATGACGTAAAATAATGACGCTGAATGGCATTTTTTTATGAGATATATTTTTCCCAAAGTTCGTTTTTACGAGATATATTTTTGCGAAGTTCGTTTTTATGAGATACATTTTCCCAAGTTCGTTTTTATGAGATATATTTTTCCCAAAGTTCGTTTTTACGAGATATATTTTTGCGAAGCTCGTTTTTATGAGATATATGTTTCCCAAGTTCGTTTTTATGAGATATATTTTCCCCAAAGTTCGTTTTTACGAGATATATTTTGTCGAAGTTCGTTTTTATGAGATACATTTTTCCCAAGTTCATTTTTATGAGATATATTTTACCTAGCCCGACTGCGAAGTTCGTTTTTATGAGATACATTTTCCCCAAAGTTCGTTTTTACGAGATATATTTTGTCGAAGCTCGTTTTTATGAGATATATGTTTCCCAAGTTCGTTTTTATGAGATATATTTTCCCCAAAGTTCGTTTTTACGAGATATATTTTGTCGAAGTTCGTTTTTATGAGATACATTTTTCCCAAGTTCATTTTTATGAGATATATTTTACCTAGCCCGACTGCGTCTGGCCGTACAGTACTATCGCAAGCTCTGTATGCAGTACATGTACGGCCAGACGCTCAATGCTTCCAAAAAGACTGAATTTTTTTCCCCGCTGATGTAGCGATTTTGCTACAGATTTTTATGCGAGCGTGCTTGGGTAAGATAATGAATATGCATCATAGTTTATGACGTTTGTCGGGCGCGCGGCGCGGCTGGCCATACAAACACGAGGTCATGATCGTAACAATCTAGTGTTTGAAACGCTAGAAAACCACGTTGACTTCCATTAGGATTGTATTTGTCGCAATTAAAACCCTGTATTGTTACGGTCATTATAGCTTGATTGTTTTACCTTTTCTTATGAAATCAAATCAGTTCATGTCAAACATAATGACCAATGAGTGCACGAAAATTCGTTTTAATGTAACTTGTGAGTTGTTTCCCCAAAACGAGTTTGTTCTGCATTTCAAAATTGAATATTCAGTGATTTGTCATAATGACTGTGTGACGTTATGAGATTTAATTTCATGAGAAACCATAAAACAATGAAAAAGAGCATACCCGAAACAAATACAGTAATTTAAACGTGAAAAAAAAAAAAAAAACCAAATGAAAATTGAAAAGTCAACGTCCATGGAAAAATAATAATAATAATAATACACTGGTTGTTTGGGCAACAACCCGAGCTCACCAGGTCAAGCTATATTAAGTTGTAAGTTCAGCAAGTGATCGGTCTTGATGTCTTACATTAGGGGATTAAATTTCGTGAGAAACCGTCAAACAACTAAAAAAATTCTTTCGAGAAAAGCGCGCTGAATAAAACTAGTGGTCTCGCACCGCCAAGACATTCATCCGCACGCCGTAGAATATTTTAAGTTTCGTTCAATAGAGGGCGCGCAACATAAATAGTGGTCTCAACAACACATCAACACGGATGCTGCAAAATTGAACAAAAAGAACATACTCGTTTCCGATGAACTACTCAAGAAATACGAAATGGTCACAATTGAAATTTGGTGCACTTGGTTTTCACGGCAAATCCGCTCTCTAAAACATGTCATTCGTTTCCCCATTGCACGTGGTGAATATGAGCCAATCTGCTCTATAAAACATAACATTACTGCGTTTCCCAATTGCACGTAGTGAGTATGAGCCAATCTGCTCTGTAAAAATGTCATAACTGCGTTTCCCCATAGCACGTAGTGAATATGAGCCAATCTGCTCTGTAAAACATGTTATTACTGCGTTTCCCCATTGCACGTAGTGAATATGAGCCAATCTGCTCTGTAAAAATGTCATAACTGCGTTTCCCCATTGCACGTAGTGAATATAGCCAATCTGCTCTATAAAACATGTCATTACTGCGTTTCCCCATTGCACGTGGTGAATATGAGCCAATCTGCTCTATAAAACATGTCATTACTGCGTTTCCCCATAGCACGTGGTGAATATGAGCCAATCTGCTCTATAAAACATGTCATTACTGCGTTTCCCCATTGCACGTGGTGAAAAATGTGCCAATCTGCTCTGTAAAACATGTCATTACTGCGTTTCCCCATTGCACGTAGTGAATATGAGCCAATCTGCTCTGTAAAAATGTCATAACTGCGTTTCCCCATTGCACGTAGTGAATATAGCCAATCTGCTCTATAAAACAAGACATTACTGCGTTTCCCCATAGCACGTGGTGAATATGAGCCAATCTGCTCTATAAAACATGTCATTACTGCGTTTCCCCATTGCACGTGGTGAATATGAGCCAATCCGCTCTATAAAACATGTCATTACTGCGTTTCCCCCTAGCACGTAGTGAATATGAGCCAATCTGCTCTGTAAAACATGTCATAACTGCGTTTCCCCATAGCACGTAGTGAATATGAGCCAATCTGCTCTGTAAAACATGTCATTACTGCGTTTCCCCATTGCACGTAGTGAATATGAGACTATCTGCTCTATAAAACATGTCATTACTGCGTTTCCCCATTGCACGTAGTGAATATGAGACTATCTGCTCTATAAAACATGTCATTACTGCGTTTCCCCAAAGCACGTAGTGAATATAAGCCAATCTGCTCTGTAAAACATGTCATTACTGCGTTTCCCAATAGCACGTAGTGAATATGAGCCAATCTGCTCTATAAAACATAACATTACTGCGTTTCCCCATTGCACGTAGTGAATTTGGGCCAATCTGCTATATAAAACATGTCATAACTGCGTTTCCCCATTGCACGTAGTGAATATAGCCAATCTGCTCTATAAAACATGTCATTACTGCGTTTCCCCATAGCACGTAGTGAATATGAGCTAATCTGCTCTATAAAACATGTCATTACTGCGTTTCCCCATAGCACGTAGTGAATATGAGCCAATCTGCTCTATAAAACATGTCATAACTGCGTTTCCCCATAGCACGTAGTGAATATGAGGCAATCTGCTCTATAAAACATGTCATTACTGCGTTTCCCCATTGCACGTAGTGAATATGAGCCAATCTGCTCTATAAAACATGTCATTACTGCGTTTCCCCATAGCACGTAGTGAATATGAGCCAATCTGCTCTGTAAAACATGTCATTACTGCGTTTCCCCATAGCACGTAGTGAATATGAGCCAATCTGCTCTGTAAAACATGTCATTACTGCGTTTCCCCATAGCACGTAGTGAATATGAGCCAATCTGCTCTGTAAAACATGTCATTACTGCGTTTCCCCATTGCACGTAGTGAATATGAGCCAATCTGCTCTGTAAAACATGTCATTACTGCGTTTCCCCATAGCACGTAGTGAATATGAGCTAATCTGCTCTATAAAACATGTCATTACTGCGTTTCCCCATAGCACGTAGTGAATATGAGCCAATCTGCTCTATAAAACATGTCATTACTGCGTTTTCCCATTGCACGTAGTGAATATGAGCCAATCTGCTCTGTAAAACATGTCATTACTGCGTTTCCCCATTGCACGTAGTGAATATGGGCCAATCTGCTCTATAAAACATATCATAACTGCGTTTCCCCATTGCACGTAGTGAATATGAGCCAATCTGCTCTATAAAACATGTCATTACTGCGTTTCCCCATAGCACGTAGCGAATATGAGCCAATCTGCTCTATAAAACATGTCATTACTGCGTTTCCCCATAGCACGTAGCGAATATGAGCCAATCTGCTCTGTAAAACATGTCATTACTGCGTTTCCCCATTGCACGTAGCGAATATGAGCCAATCTGCTCTGTAAAACATGTCATTACTGCGTTTCCCCATTGCACGTAGTGAATATGAGCCAATCTGCTCTGTACAACATGTCATAACTGCGTTTCCCCATTGCACGTAGTGAATATGAGCCAATCTGCTCTCTAAAACATGTCATTACTGCGTTTCCAATTGCACGTAGTGAATATGAGCCAATCTGCTCTGTAAAACATGTCATAACTGCGTTTCCCCATTGCACGTGGTGAATATGAGCCAATCTGCACTGGAAAACATGTCAATACTACGTTTCCCCATTGCACGTAGAGAATATGAGCCAATCTGCTCTGTACAATATTCAGTGATTTGTCATGATGACTGTGTTACATTTTGAGATTTAATTCCATGAGAAACCATCAAACAATGAAAAGGGCATATCCGAAACAAATACAGTATTTTACACGTGAAAAAAATACAATCCAAATGAAAATTGAAAAGTCAACGTCCATGGAAAAAAATAATACACTGGTTGTTTGAGCAATAACTGGCGAGCTCACCAGGTTAAGCTATATTGAGTTGTAGGTTCAGCAAGTGATCGGTCTTGATGTCTAACATGAGGAGATTAAATTTCGTGAGAAACCGTCAAACAACTAAAACAATTCTGTCGAGAAAGGAATAAAACTAGTGGTCTCACACCGCCAAGACATTCATCCGCACGCCGTAGAATTGTTTTAATTTTCCTTCAATAGAGGGCGCGCCACATAAATAGTGGTCTCAACAACGCATCAACACGGATGCTGCAAAATTGAACAAAAAAGAACAAACTCGTTTCCGATGAACTACTCAAGAAATACGAAATGGATTCAATTGAAATTTCGTGCAATTAGTTTTCACGATGTGTAGCAGAAGTCGTTTGAATGGCGTGAGAAACCGTGGAGCTATTAATATAATATGATCGTAACAATCTAGTGTTTGAAAAGCTAAAAATCCATGTTGACTTCCATTAGATTTGTATTTGTCGAGAATGAAATCCTGTATTGTTACGGTCATAATAGCTTGATTGTTTGACCTTTTCTTCTGAAATTAAATCTGTTCATGTCAAACATAATGACAAATGAGTGCACAAAAATTCATTTTAATATAACGTGTATTTCTTGAGTTATTGCCCCCAAAACGAGTTTGTTCT